CGAGATCATTCTTCAGTCAATAATGGCTCCACGAAAACCAATAACCGGTTACGACCCCCTCGTGGGTCATTGTGCTCGTCGCGTGCCGTGGAGGATTATGAATGCTTAAGCAGGAATTAGAGTCTTCATCGGATCTTACCGTTCTTTCATGGGAGGGATTAGAGGAACGCGCTGGTATCGATTGGCAACCTCCACGGGGGTGGTGAGACAAGAATAGGGTTGGGGGAGAGAGACCCGGTCCGCCCATCCCAATGGTCGTAATAGAGTGACCGTGGAAATCAAACGGAAAAATAGATTGAGCCCAGACGCACTGGCAACGGTCATCGACTTTCCTCCTCTTTTGTTCGAATATTTCTTTGGTTCTTTGATTGTGTACGGTTCAGACCCCGTGCGCCCACGCACCCATAGTCATTAAACGGGGAATAGATTGAGCCCAGACGCATTGGCAACGGTCATCTACGGGGGTGCATACCTATGTTCCCCAATACCTATGTTCCCCAACCCTAGCGCTAACCATAACTCTAACCATAACCCTAAGGATTTTAGGGAACTATGTACTGGTGAGCATAGGTATTTGGGAACATCGGGTAGACCGCATATAGGGTCTTCTTTTATAGTTTTGTTCGAGTATTTATTTGGTTCTGTGTTATACAGTCCAAGACCCCACGCAGGGTCGGCGGAACCGGGGGGGGGGCAGGCCCCCCCCCCCAGTTTTACTCAACAGTGCCCTCTTGCGGTCATAAATGTGCCCCTCGAGCATAAATGTGCCCGAGATGAAAACAACCTTGCCCAAAAATTTCGGATAATTTGTATTCAACCCGTCCCAAAATGGTATGGAGAGTTCTGATATAAACGAGGAATATAAAAACCAAGCCCCCAAACCCTTATCATGCGCTCTGAAATAATGCGTAGTTTGAATAAGGCCAGTTTTGAAGAGCGCCCCCTATTTTGGAAGATGGTATCAGCCCCCCCCCCCCCCCCCCCCCCCTATTACTTTTTAATGAGGCCATGTGTCCGGTGAAAAAAAAACTGTGTCGACATTTCAGTCCGGATGTGCCCAAAAAACTCCTGGATACGCTGCTGCACCGACGGAAGATGCCTTAGTGATGTCCCCCCCCCCCCCCCCCCGTTTGAAAACCGTTCCGCCGCTGCTGACCCCATCCCACGCACCCCTAGCCAGTCGGTCAGGTAGACGCTTTCCATGACGGGCCCTAATTTGCATAGATGAGTTGAGAAGCTGCAACGGCAAGCTTTAGCACATTGACTGAATTTTCAGATCTAGTTTAACAATCTAATAACGCAAAAGAGTTATCATTTCATAATTTCAGCCTCGCGTTATAGTGTGCAACTGCGTAATGTGGCAATTCCGCGCAAAGAGTGATGAGCACTTTCCAGCTTTGAAGGGGCCGTATTTGAACTCACAGCATTTTTAATATGCTCGGAGTGGTCCCTTTAGCTTCACGTCACGTACACTTCGCTCGTCGAAACCCCGTTCTCGTGTTGAATGAACACGAGAACAAGGTTTCGAATGCGAAGAACGGACAAGCGAACGGTGTTTGACTGTTTGCGAACAGGACGCCACTGCAACATTTCAGGTTAATACTCTTCAGCCCACTGAGGGCGCTATTCAAGTAACTTGTTCTCAAGACACCATGGCTGCTTCCAGAGAGTTGTGTCCAATTTATGCCGTTATTTGTGATCTACCGGCGCTTGAAACATAAAGGCTTCACTTCATCAGCTGAGAATGTGAGCTGTGTCACCACTGACATAACTCAGTCACAGACGACAAGCCAATACACTGCAGTATAGAAAGTAAGGGCAAATCTGTGGAACACCAGGTGGACTGTTGCGCAACTGTTAATCTGATTCCCAAGAAATATGCCACAGAGATTAGGTCAGAGACATTTGAGCTCATGATGTGGAACAAATTGGGCGAAGCACAGTAAACTTCGCATATGTCGGAGGGCTGCTGAAAAGATGGATCACCAACTATGACAAGTTCTCACAAGTCCTGATGTTAATGCATCCATCACAGTCACTCTGCCTGGCCAAGGTATACATCTGACCACCGTCAGCTCTGACGCTGAACCTGTCACACGACGTGCTTGCACAGTTCCAGAAGCACTCAAGCCTGCTGCCAAGGCCGAGCTGGAAAACCTGACCCACCGAAATGTGTTGGTAGAAGTAGACGAGCCAAATGACTGGGTAAGCCAAATGTCTTCGGCTAAGAAGAAATCTGGCTCTGTCAGAATCTGCATCGATCCTGGTCCCCTGTATAAATACCTCAAGACGTCTACCCGTGATACTGTCAGCTTGCTGACGAGTCCAGTAAGCTGACTACCTTTGCCGCACCCTGGAGCAGATATTGCTGGAAACGTTTGGCCTTTTGTCATGAAGATGATCAGCAATGAAATCTTTTAGAATTGATTCAAGCCCTGGATGGCTTTGAAGGTGTCCATTTTGTGGCAGAAGCATATGTACGTGTCGACCAACACAATCTTCGTGTTTGCAAACTGCTCCAAAGATGCAAGGAGATGGGGTCAATCCCAACAAGGAGAAATCGCGCTTTGCTGTGAGGGCGTGCGACTCTTGGGTCACATCATGGCCCAAAAGTTGATCCATCGAAGATGGAGGCTGTGCTCAACATGAAGCCACCAACGTGCAAAGATGACATCGACAGGCTGAGAGGCATGTTGAACTACCTCTCAAAATGCCTCCCTGGGTGATGGATCCATTGAATGCACTCACCCGTAAAGATGTCGAGTGGTCATGGAGCGCCTGCCATGACCAGGCCAACAACAAGTTGAAGCATCTACTCACTGAAGCTCCTGTCCTGACCTACTTCGACTTTGAAGAGGAACCTGCCATACACACTGATGCCAGTGACAGATACATCTGTGCGGTTCTACTTCAAGATGACAAACCACTTGCCACACAGCTGTATCTTGCGTGACCCTGAGACCAGGTATATGCGGTCGCTGAAAAGGGAATGTGTGCAGTGGTCTTTGCGCTTGAAAAGTGGCACCAAGAGACCTGTGTACTCCGACTATAGGACACTAGGGAGTAGCGAGAAAAAGCCACTAGACAAGGCGCCTAGACGAATTCAAGAAATGCAGTTATGATCATTGGCCTATAATGTTGAGGTGAAGTATCTGCAGGGCAAACAAACCTCATTGCCGACCTTCTTAGTCGCTCCTTTCCTCAATATGAGCCTAGCCAGAAGGAGTTTGAAACTGTAAACGCCATCCAGTTCCTGACCCTTCCTGATCGAAAAGCGAATACATGAAATCAAACAGATGACAAGCGCACACTAAGTTCTCCTGGAGCGTTGCATTCAGGAGGGATGGCCACAGAACACTAAAACCTCACCTGTACAGATCACACCGTATACATTCTCCGTACGTCCGTGACGAACTCTGCGTCCATGAGGGCCTATAGTGTATCGAAGTGAACGACTTGTCATTCCAAAGTCGAAGAGACAAGTCATCAAGCAAGATTTGCACCTGGGACATAATGGTGTGGAAGGCACTCTGAGACGAGAACGATTATGTCTTCTGGCCTGGCATAAATAATGAATCAGACAGTGGATCGAGTGCTGCGAGACATGCAGAGAATATGAGGTGCCCCAAGCCCCACGTCCGCTAATGTCCCATGACATTCCCAAAAGATTGTGGGACAGCCTGGCATCGGTCTTTTCCACATGTGTGGTATAAGTCCAACTTGTGGGAAATGGATCGTTTGCGCGCACAGCACAACTGGAAAGTCAGTCATAAGCAAGCTGAAACATCACTTTGGCAGATATGGCATACATCATTGTCAGTGACAAAGAGCCACCGTTCTCGTCGCAAGAGTGGAATGACTTTATGCGAATTGGGAAAATTAAGAACAGCACAGTCTCCTCGCACATCAGCAAGGCGAATGGAAAGGCCGAGTCAGCAGTCAAGTCTGAAAAAAAAGATGCTGAAGAAATGTCTCGCCACTGGTGAAGATGAAGACCTTGCCCTTCGACGTAGGATCCCGATTTGCTGTCGTAGCTCACGGATGTTTCGTCGTCTAGACAGCCCTATTGAGACAAGAGTCAGTGGTGAGAACTCGGGGCTCGGACCCGCCACCTCAAGTTTGGCACTTAGGAGTCTACCGACTGGGCTAGGGCTCTCGATCAGTTCAGGGGTGATTTCTAAACATCTATATACCTGTCGGTCTGTACGTGATGGTCATGACGTCAAAAGCCTGAGGCCTGTCCCGATTGGCTGTCGTACTTCACGTGTCAACCGTCCAACCTCTTACCCTCTCCAAATCAAGAATGTGTGTGAGTGCTGACAACTCAGGGCTCGAACCCACCACTACCAGAATTGGCACTCGGGGTTCGACCGACTGGGCCATCGGCTCTCATTTTGTTGACGTGTGATTTTTAATATCTATAAACCAGTGTCGGTCGGTCATGGTCATGTATGTCAAAAGAGAGAGGCCATATGTCCCGATTGGCTTTCGTAGCTCACGTGTGGTTGCACTGCACCTCTCACCCTCTCACAAGTCAATGGGGGAAAATGTCGATGGTGACAACCCCTCGGTTGGCACTCGGCAGTCGACCGCGACTGAGCCATCATGTCTATCCAAACCTGTTGGTCGGTCATGGTCGTGACGTCAAAAGTGAGGCCGGCCCTGATTGGCTGTAATAGTTTACGTTTCGTCCTTCATCCTGCTCACCTCTCGCACGCACGCACGCCCTAACAAAATGATGGTGGTGACATATGGGGCTAGATGAATCTCCTACCCTCACTTTGGCATGCGCCAAATGGGTATCGGCCATCGGATCTGCTGCACTTTTCTTCAGGTGTGTGATTTCTTAAATTTAACCTGTCGGTCTGTGATGGTCGTGACGTCAAAAGAGAGGCCGACCCCGATTGGTTATCATTTTTCACGTGTCGTCATCCAGACCCCCCCCCCCCACCCCCCACCCTCTCACGTCACACGTGGTGGTGGTGACAACTCACGGGGTCGATTTTTCTTGAGTAAAATGAATCACGATCTATGGCTCATGACCTGGGCTATAAGCTCAGCTGGTCTGACAATAGAGGGCGTAATAACGTAAATATTGAGTAGCTTCCATTCGATGCCATGGCTGCTAGTGGTAAACACGCGCACGCCGATGAAGAAAGTGAATGTGGTTTCGTCAGTCTCTAGCTCCATGCTCTGGCGATCACGATGATTTGAAATTCCATAATCAGGTATTGATACTTTTGCTTATTTGTGAGATCTGCAGTAATTTGGAGTGAATTGAACTCTGTAGGGGCCTACTTAGTCCGAAAATTTGGGACTCTCAATACTGTGTATGAGAGTCCCAAAACTTAAGGTATCCATATCGTGCAAAACTTTGTGCTGCATGATAAAACCAGTGTGAATCAAATTTGCAAGCTTCTTACTCACTACAGTTTCTTCAATAATCCCCGAAACTTCTGCCTAACAAAGTTGCTGTTGTGAGCATTGCATCACCAAAATTTCAGCTTTTAATTCTAATTTTGCAGAGAGTTATCGAAATCCATACGTGAGACATCACATTGATGTGTACTGCAATGCATTGTGCAAAAAGACTCCTCAGCTATAACATTTTCATCGTGTAGATAAAACAGCGCCCTCTTGTTGATCTGAGTGAATGTAAAATGTTTCATTTTTTAGCAGAGGGCGCTATGTTCATTTGGCCATTGATTAAAAAACAAGTAAGCTGCAAGGCTCTTCCTACACCTACCCAGAATACATTGGGAATCACACAACCATTTCCAGAGCATGGAGATTGACGTGGGTGGTTTTTGAACTGCCAAAACCTTGCCTTAAAATTGGATTTAAGGTCTCAAATTTTGCAGGTGACATGCTTGCAACTGTAGCATTTTGATGTATGTGTTGTGTGGGCATTAATTAGCCTAATAATGGTGAGTAAAAAAACGTCAGTAGTAATTTTGCACGTTTTTATGCACTCACGGTCCCAGTCTGGGGCCTACTGCCCCGCGTGTATGACCATTGACATGATTGATGGGTTTCTTCATCATTCATTCAGGAATTCCATGGTTTCCTGTTACATCACATTAGCTTGTGTAGTGCAAGCTGTTCATCATGCTTATGATTATGATGATTGTACATGTTTTAGAGTGATTATTGTATTAATGTACCTTGTTGTCCAATAGTACATTTAAATGACAAAACAAAGTCCTGCATATTTTCTTTCTTAAGCTGGCAAAATCGAACAGCACCCTCATGACATGTGCACATACAACTCACAAAATACAAGTAGGCCTACAGTACACCATATAACATATCAAATTCCCATCCCAACATAACAAAACAAGCGAATGCGTGGCCTAGTGCAGTGAATAGTGCGCCAGAGATTACGTTGATGCGCGGTGACACTCATTTTGATTTTCTTTTTTCAATATCCCCAAAACAATAAGAGTTTTTAAGACTAAGACTTCTTTTACGTTTTAAATCAAATCCTACATTTAATATGCAGAATGTCATCTTCGTTTTCTGATTTTTGGCTCTGGTGTATTTTTAAATAAAGTCCAAAATCACATTAGCGTAGGTCTGATTCCCATCTCGTGAACTCATACAAAGTCACAACGAAAATGTAATCATGGAACCAGACGAAAATTCGTCAAATTAAAATTGTAAGTCCCAAAAGACACTCCCTGCACATTTTCAGTGCCGGTCAAATATACAAAATGCTCATTTTGCAGGATAGTTCAAGTAGCTACATGTAGGACTCTACAACTTACAAGTAGTCGTGATTTAGCAATAGGCCTAGTACTTTTTACTAATACTAGTAGACCAAATGTTAGAAAAGGCGATTTGTAGAGTCGTAGTTTTACTCAAACTATGCAGAAGAGACCTGTTGGTTAATCCGGATGCCATAACTTTTTTTTTAAGTTAGTAATTTGTTTCTTTCTAATCACTGTAGCTAAAGGTCGAACATTATGCACACGTGCGTTACATGCAATGGAGGATCCGGGGGGGGGGGGGGGGGAAGGGGGCAACATGCCCCCCCCCCCCTCCGCCAAAAAGAAACAAACCCAATTTTTTTTTTTTTAAGTGACGTCGCAATAAGGCAGGCACTACGTACACCACCATCTGTTCCTAAAAAAAAATGGTTAAAGTGGTCAGAAATTGCCTCAGATCGCACCACAGAGCATCTAAAATCCCCCCCAAAACTTGGGGCCCTTAAGCGGGCCCCAAATCCCACGCCGGAATTCTTTGGACCCACTTTTGGGTGACCAAAAATATATTTGCCCCCCCCCAAAAAAAATTGTGTTCTGGATCCACCCTTGGTTAGATGTCAACCCAATGGTTTGGGACTTCACATGTACTTCCCTTTAAAAACCCTCATGAGCCACGAATCATGAAGAAGATACAGCAACAACTTTACTAAAAAGTAGGATTTTATTTAATGAGATAAAAGTAAGAGCATTTAAATTAAAAAAAAATCACTGAGATCGAGCCTGGGTCATTAGCAGTAGTCAGGCTTTCCTGACGGTAATCAGTGGTGGTGCCAGACTCAAACATTAATTTTTTTGGAGGGGGGGGGGGGGGGGAGCAGGCAAGTGAGTAACTTGAGTCTTTCTGTCTTTCCTTGTTTTCGCTTTTGTTTGATTTTCTTGGGGGGGGGGGCAGGCCCACAAATGTTGCCCCCCCCCCAACTGATCATCATACACACATTTTTATCAGCCTCGACTCCCGGGGCGCATGTACGTTCCTTCACTAACCCCTGGCCGTGAAGAATATGTAAACGACACTTACCGGCTATTTAGTACGTACTACGCATTCGAAAACTACACGCCCTGCATGTAATGCACTCTGGCGTTCCTGAATGGCACGTCACATGTGAACATTTTTTTCAAGACTGCGCGATGCCTGTACGATACGGATCCTGGAAGCCTCGTTTTTCGTCCAAACAAAGCTGTATCTGGTGTTGTAAAGGGACGGCCGAGGTACGTACATTAAATTATGCTAAATAACGCGACCTTGAAATTTCATGTTTGAAAGGATTGATTCTACAAAATAAAAATTTCAATATTTTAAGTATTGCGTTGCACGCATTAAATACATCAACTGCAGTTCTAATTTCAATGCCCCAAATATTGGGACATGTAAATTACACAATTCCAGGGGTTAAGATCGTGTGATGCATGATGAGAACTAACATGGCGTAGCAAGATCGTACCCACGGAAACGAGGTTGGGTCAGTGTTAAACGATAAACAAGTGTGTATTAATGTCAGGAAATCAGACTACCAAAACGTCTTAATCAATCAAAGAACTTAAAACTCATATGGATTCACAGTGTATTTTGCAGTGTTCCAACTGTAACTTGAAAAACATGTTACGGATTCTGCAACTACTATAGCCAAGTGTTTTTAATACTCAGGCATGACAGGTTTAATAAGAACTCATGATGCAACTATTTGTCTTTCCTCAAAAAATCTGCCATCCCCTGTAAAGTAAAAGATGAATAAAAACAAATCCAAATTCTATCTCTGTCAACATCCAGTGCTTCATGCATAGCCCAGCCATGCTGATCGGCTGTACTTTAAACTCCATTGGGTGAGCGAGGAACCGTGTGACGTGGCATCGCAACTGATTCGCAGTTCTTAGTCACCACCAATTTCCCGTTTTGATTTAACATGGAAACACATTTGGCAATGGCTCAGCTTTGTTTCTCACATACAGTGCCATGCAAGACCTGTAGCTGTCTAGCTTGTCATAATTGGAGACTCATTCTTACATCCTGCTGTTGCAAAACAGTTATTTCATATGTATTTTTATGGGCAAGTTGGTGGATGGAATGTACAGGTTTTGATTGTAACAAGAATAATTTTGCCTGTCATCTGTTTTTGAGATGCAAATCTGTTGCTTTTCCAGTCTGATTAATAAGTCTTCAAAATCCTAACTTCAAGTTGAAAGCTACAATACAGTGTGAATTTTCCCTTCATTTATGAACGAGAATGTTTAGAGCTTGATGAAATTTTACTTTTTGTGAAATTTGAGGTAACAATTTTGCTCTAACAAGGCACTAGAGGCGAAAAACCAAAGTGCGCCACGTTAGGGGCCGCGCCACGTTACGGTACACCAACAATATAGGCTACCCCACGGAGCTGAGATCGATGTTTTATGTAGAATGTACTTGGTAAACTACAGGTACTTATTCAATTTCAGGAACATAGCTTGATTGGTCCTTTCTTTGTTCATAATTATATTTTCTTTAAATTTCTTTTGGACAGAATGAGATGCTAACGACATTCAACTGCGATTGGATTTGACCAGCCATGGCAGACTCCAACTATCCAGAAGGATTTGAGTGGCTCGTCCAAGGGAAGACGACAAAACTCCCATCGCAGGACTCGAACGTAGTCCGTGTGTTCCTCAGCTCCACATTCACAGGTTTGTAGTTATTTGCGTGTTACTGAGATGCAATGCTTGAAGACTTGAAGTACTAAATATTCTCCATACTGCACAGTGAATAGTCAGAATTTATTTTGCAACTGTGACGGTCATAATTGCTCCCAGACTCACCTTGTCGTGCTAGCTTGGCTGTGGCTGGGTTTCCATGGCAGCGATTGATTTGTTGATATTTTCTGTGTATAGGATACGGTGCAAGGACATTGCACACAGATCAAGCAAGATTATTAGTTACCTGTTACTGCAGAATCTGCAATGAGGGATAGGATTTTGCCACTGAGTGTCGATATACTAATTCTTCACATATCATATCATTATAATTTCGGAAAAACTTAAGTGCTAATGGACAAGAAATGAAAAAAAAAAAATGAATAAGTGTAGGAATAAATAGGCGGTTCCATTGTTTGGGGACACAATGTCAGTACTTTAATGAATACTTCAGCATTGCTAAATGTTTTTTTTTCTTTCTTTTTTTCTACTTTTAATAATCATTAATGTGGTGATGTGGGCAAAATTATAACAACCGAGGAATGCACGAAGCTGAGGGTACATTGTGCCCTTGAGGATGTAAAAAGTCATGTCCCACATCACAGTAGGTGACACGTGTATTTCCCATCATTAAAGGTACCGGTAATATACAATATTTGCAAACATCAAACAACAAAACTACAACAATTTTATGAAATACCTAACTTTACTGTAAGTGAATAATAGTCTCAAGCATCCTGCGAAATCATGGCACCTGGTGTGCTGTCATTTTCAAGAAATTGGAATTTTCAAATCAGTTTCCAGCGCTGGTCGGCTGACCATTGTTGGGAAAAAAACCTGACTTTTTTTAAATACCCCAGTTTACCAAATTTATTTAGTCCACATTTTGTTTGCAATAAATACGTATAGTGAACGGTTGCAAGCCAGCTGGTCTGGTTCCCTGACCTGACAATTCCGTGATGTCTATAAATGCTCTGTTTCATCCAAAGTGGGATCAGGGAAGCAGACTACAAGAGTAAAAAAAAATTCTCAAGCATCTACATGTGTGAACAGTTGAACACAAAATTTTAAACAGGTCAGTGCAGAAGTGGATATTTGCTATAAAATACTCACCCCAAATCCATATTTTCTGAAAATTACGACAAAAGCAGATGTTGTATATTACCTTTAAGTCAAAAAGATAAAAGATGTGACTAAATTCAAGTCACGTTATAACCATTGCCGTAAGTTCATTCCAGTGTAACACAGGTACAAAAACCATAATAGTTTATTTACATTACAAGTCTTTCTTCATGTTTTTTTTACCACACAGACACAATCCACGAGAGGAACCGGCTTTTGAAGGACGTCTTCCCCGAGTTGCAAAAATACTGTCAGGGGAAAGGACTGGATTTCGAGGTGGTTGATATGAGATGGGGCGTGCGGGACAATGCCACCGCTGATCATCTAACCTCTGCCCTCTGCATCAAAGAGATTGAGACCTGTAAACGGCTGTCGATGGGACCACACTTTGTGGTAGGTGGAATAGGCCCTGTGTTGTCATGGGTCCAAAGGTTTTGGGCCTAAAATTGTATTGTTTTTCTTTGTGTATAGTGAGCTGATTAGCTCGAATGGCATCCTCAAGAGATGGGAAATTGATTTGTTATCGTGTCTTGGATACTGAAATGTTCATTGGTCAAGAACGGCCAAGTGCCCAGTCTATAAAAATAATGGTTACATGATATATACTGCGTTGCATATAAATTACCTCATATACACCAGGGTTCGACGTAAGCGGTAGCCCGCTAGCCAAATGCGAGTCAAAACAGCGGTGAGCTAGTCAAAACCATTCTCTAGTAGCCCGCCTGGCATGTCAAAATTATTGAGATAAGGTATGAAACTTCTCCGCATAGCCGCGGATTTCCACCTTTTTTTTATAATTTGAAAATAATCTGGCAGTCGGCTTTTTTCATGCCGTTGCGCCGCCGATTATTGTACCGTAATCGCTGGCGTACAAATTAATAGAGAAAAAAAAAAAAAAAAAATAGCAAAGAAAAACAAACAATTCTATTGCGGACTATTGAAAAAAAAACAACTGCGGGCTAGTTAAGAGTCTGGTTCACTAGTCTGGCTTGCTTGTGAAGAAAAAAATAGTTAAGGGTGAAGCCTCCACACCGTTGCTTGTAGTTTACTCATGTGTTGCATATAAATAACCTATGCGTTGCACGCGCGTGTAGGACCGGCCCGAGCGCCTCGCGACTGAGAACTGCAAGCGCTCTGTCTCATGTCGGGAAGAAAAGCTTGCAGTTTTCAAAAGGTTACACGCAGTGATTTAATTTATTTCTTGCACAGTAACTTACAAGCCTTTATCTTTTTGACTTATTGGCACGATATAACTAAACAATTGTTAACTGCTGTGGTGTGGGATGTGCCGTTTTTAACCCCCTCAGGGCACATATTTATGTGCCCTCGGTTGTTAAAAATGCCATATATCGCACATCACAGCAGTCATCAATTAGTAAGTTTTGGTTTGACAGTCATTGTGTACTGTTTTGAGTGATAGGGTCTACTCGTTGGCCATTTCCCAGGTTTGCAGCAAACACTGCTAGCATTTTGACTTTGGGTGTGATCCATGGCTACATTGCATATTACAGGTTTATGGCTTCTAACTATAGTGCTCGTGAACAAAGACAAAGATATTCTAGGGAACTGCCAGCATAGGGCTAGGTAGCTCAGTTGTTAGAGCAGCGCTCCAATTAATGTCTATTATCAATTTTGTAAAAATGATTTGATTCTGTTAAATGAAGACACTTATTTCCATACACAAAGAACTAAGGAACCAACTTTAGGAAACCAAAAAGAGGTAAACATTTAGGGATGTATTTTTTTTTTGGGGGGGGGGGCATGTTCCAAAAATGGGGAAGGGGAACAGACGAGTCCATGCAGGCAGGAACAGTACTTGGCACTGTGGGACCCACTTGTTAAAGCTCTTCAGTGTGTGGGACACGGCGTGTGGTCACGATGGCACAAAGTAAACCCAACGTACGTCACGCTTTGTGAACATGTGCATTGGGCACACTCCCTCACCCTCTTTGGTGGTTGCTAGGAGAGGGGTAATGACATTTACGTTTCGTTTATAGCTCTCTCTCTATGTTAGATTGTTGAAAGAGTACTTTGGCACAATGTCAAAGCTCCTAGAAGTACAAATAATGTTTTTTTCTAGTTTTGGACTTAACATAGTTTTGTACTTATTTCCTCTCTAGGGTTTTCTAGGAAATAAATATGGCTATCGACCTTTGCCCCCAGTGGTTGAGTCCGCCCACTTTGAAAAGTTGGCTTGCTCTGTCCAATCACTGGGCGTGGAACCTGACGAGTCCCAATTGTTAGCCAATTGGTACGTCCAGGACACCAATGCCACGCCCCCAGTGCATGTGCTGCAGCCAATCACGTCGCGCCTTCCAAACTTCTACAATGCTGAACAGCCCGAGTTGCAACAGAAGGAACGAGACGATTGGTGGAAGACCTTTGGGAGGCTGCAGAGGCTTTTGCAGAGAGGGGCAAGAGCCGCTGTCAAAGAAGGGCTCATCACAGAGGAAGAATCTGCAGTTTATTTTGAATCAGGTAAGGAAGTCAAGGTTTGTCCAAGACTTTTTTGGATAGTCAGAAGAAATTTTGAATTGGAAGTTTGATGGTGATGTGGACAGCATGAATCATGCAAAAAAATGTTTAAAAATGCTTCTTAAACATCATTGAGAAACTCTTGCAAAGAACGTTGGAAATAGTGCTTTTTATTTATAGCAGTGTCTTGTTTGTCCAGTATGTCCCTGTTGCATAGCTGCAACAAAATCTTCAATCACTTATTGCAGTATTTTTTTTTTCCATTTGTAGAATAAGCATATGTGCGTATTGTGTTGGTCACACCATTCTCCTCTGTGCAGTAACTTTCATCACACATCGTATGTTTTCCTTATTTGTAAAAAAATTATTGTATATTGTTGTATCCTTACCAATCCCAATTTATTCTGTTTACAGTGACTGAAATTGAAGTAAGGGAGGGTTTAATGGGAGTGGTAGACCCATCTGCAAGCTGTCTCTTCTTCCTGCGTGATCTTGAGGGTTTGGGAGTCAAGATGGAAGATGAGGCCACAAGACGTTATCTGGACATTGACGAGGATGGGTTGGTATCAGAAAATCAGAGACAAATGAAAATTGACAAGAGTTAAAAAAGTTGTCAAAGTTGTTGCTGAAATAGTACTCTGGATGTTTAAGGTGCAAATTATTTTCCAATTACTTCTCTTGGGAGTTTGAAATTCATGAAAAGCAGAAAGCAAAAATAAGGAGAAATTTGGAACCCATGTATACCTTTTTTTGAGCCTGGAAAAGAGACATTCAATTTCGCAGAGTTGTCAGCAGCTGTCACAGGTCATCATAAACACAAGTCAATTGCAACTCAGCCAGACGCAAGCTATTCAAATGAACTGTCCGAGGAATTCCCTTTTCAATGTTTTTCCTATTACCTGACTTATCGACAGGGTTCCCAGCCACTCTCGAAATCAGGGAAAACCTTGAAAACTCAGGGACTTTGGGAAAACACCAAAAGATCTGGGGAAAATTGAGGTATTTGACAGTGACCCAGAAGGGAAAGGATTTGGAAAGATTTCCATATAAGAAGTTCACTCAACACCCTGTGTACAAACCCTATGAGAGTGGACTGAAAAATTTTAAGTGTTTTCTGAGAAAATGCTTGTATTTTCTCACTGCTCAAATTGACTTTGATGACATGAAATTGCTATCTGGGGGCTTGTTAGTCTATACAGAGGAAAATTAGTGAACTTCTTATATGGAAATCTTTCCAAGGATTTCACCTGTTTGTCCTGTGTGCCTCTTGTGCCATGTGTCCAAGTTGTGTTCATTGACTGACTGGCTATATGGTGGCTTTTTAGTGTTTATGCAGTGTGAATATTACAAGCCTCTCCAGACAGTAACAATTGGTTGGGTTGCAACTACCTCTTGACTTACCAGCAACCTTGTCAACCCTCCTGCTATTTAAACAGTCACAGACAGTCAAAATTTTCATCGGATTCCCCTTTTAACACAGGCTAGTCACCAGCAGTCAGATCATAAAGCAAGCACTGTGACTAGTCGAACTCAGTCAGCAGACCATGAACAGACAAAGTAGGCAAGTTGTGGGCACAGCTGGCTTATCATTACCCACAGTCAAAGCAGAGCTGTTTTGAGTAACATAAACAGTCACAGCCAGTCATTCCTGCTTTATGTAGGCTGGGAATTCTTAAGTGTTGAAAACAGTCACTCGATTGATTTTGACTGCAAGGACAACTTGGCACAGAATGTATGTTTGCATAAGAGGGTTAAAGTGAAACTACTTTCTCGTGGAATTTTCGAAATTTCTCAGGGAAATATCAGGGAAGGCTCAGGGAAGTAAAAATGCTGGGTGCCCTGTACATTTGTATTGACTGCTCACACTTCTGTCTTTTGGATCCAGAATCTAACCTCAACTCCTCATGTTCCCAACAGGTCAGTTGACAGCAATGCCCAGACCTCCCTGAAGAATCTCAAGACCAACTACCTGCCATCCATCCTAGGAGAGGAAGCCATCCACAGATTCAGCCTTCCCTGGACCCCATCAGGCATCGACCCCTCCCACCCTGTGCATGCCCAGTACCTAGACGACATCTGCAACAGATTCAGGGATGGCATTAGAGGGATGATTGACAGGAGTCTGGAACAGAGGTCAAAGGTCACAGATCAAGCTGTGGCTGATGTGTACGAAGAGCTTTTGCACCATGCTGAGTTTTGTGACAGAAAATGCAGGTGAGGCATGTGATGAGTTAGTAATCCATTAGCAAGTGTACTACATTGTATTACATTGTGTTTATTCACTGTTAAATTCATAAAACCATAGAGTGCTCAGATGGTTTCAGGCGCTGCAGGGAGTAAAAGGCAGGGCAATTTCAGGTGCTAGAGTTACTAAGGGGTTAATCCATAAGAATTATGTTAACGTGTTAAACAGATTTTGAAACTAATATTAGGATAAAGCAAAAATGGCTGGTTATCTGAACTTGTGCCTTCATGAGTATCCTACCTGGGCTCTACCTACTAAGCTACATCCAGCCCTATGTTAGTGGTCTTCTTAATACAGGTTTTCAGCCACTCTGGAAATCACAGAAACCCTTGAAAATTAGTTTCCATTTTTCCAGTCGGGGACAACTCGGGGAATTAGGGAAAAACACCAAAAATCTGAGAAAACTCAGGGAATCCCAGAAGGGAAAGATTTTCACAAGTTTGGAGTGTGTGCATCTCCTGTCCTGTGTACAGGTTTTGTGCATTGACTGACTGGTTAAGGTGTTTTTTGGGTCTGTGTGTGATCAGTATCTTAGTTGCATTGCTGCAACCACCTCTTGACTTTGCGATCCCAGCAACCTCATTTAAGTGAAAATATTTCTCATGGAATTTTGGATTTTTTTTAGGGAAATATCAGGGAATTTTGTGTTTTTAAGTAGTGGGAACCGTGTAATAGATTTTTTACATGCAATGTAGATATCCCATAGATTGGAGAAACATTGACAACATTTACTTGAATTTCTCGACGTAGTGTGTTTCATGGACGGCAGGAGCTCATGACCAACATCCGAGATTTCCTGTCCCTGAAGCCAGGCAGACCGCTGGTTGTACACGGAGTCTCAGGATCAGGCAAGACATCGGTCATGGCCATGCTGGCCAAGAACGCCTGTGATTGGCTGAAGCAGGAGGTGGTCGTGGTGTTGCGATTTCTGGGCACGTCCGGCCAGAGTTCGGGAATCCATGCCGTGCTACAGTCAGTGTGTAGACAGGTATGTATCCATATTTTTTATGAAGTTTTGAAAACCATATAAAGCTCGCATACAAATCATGTAAGCTAACACGCTGAAAAGAGAATTTCCTAAATTGGAATATCCTTTGTTTTTAAATTCTGTTGATCCAGCTGATGGATGCACTGGCACATTCAGATGGGGTCTTGGAGGGGGCACATATCTTCAAAAAAACTAAATCAAAATTTTAACTGCATGAGATACGTGTCATTTGTTGCATTCCTGTAGTACCCTTGCAAATGGCACTCTGGTTTCACCTCTGGTATGTGTTGTTGTGATCCCAGCTAAGTAGCTGCAATATCTTCAAATTTCGTTTTTGAGTAAAGAGAAATAGAGATATAATCTGCAGTGAATTTTAAAATTGTATTGGAAGAAGTATAACTTGTCCTTTTGCACATTTTAATAGTGTCATTTTTTTTATGCCATGGCCACAGATATGCTATGCGTACAACCTGAAGCAGCCATGTTCCACCACACTTGGTGATTACACAGATCTGACAAAACTCTTCAGAAAGCTCGTAGCTACGGTGGCTACTCCAGAGAAGCCTTTGTTGCTGATTTTTGACAGCGTTGATCAACTGTCCGCTGCCAACGATGCCCATGCCGTGAACTGGCTGCCCATGTCTTTTCCATCGCACGTTCTGATCGTGGCATCCATGCTGTCACTTGACGAGCACAGATGCCAGGAGAAGATGCGACTCCTGCTCGCGGATGACAGTTGCTATCTTGAGATGCAGCCGGTTCCCCAGGAGACGGGTCTCGAGATACTCAACAGCTGGCTTGAGGTGAAGCGTCGTAAGTTGACGGAAGAGCAGCTCATCAAAGTTTCTGAGGCCTTCTCCAAGTGTCCGCAACCCCTGTTTCTGAAGCTGCTGTTTGAAAACGTCCTGCAGTGGAAATCCTACACCGGGATGTCCTCAGAGAGGATGCTGCCCACCAGCGTCCGGGAAGCCATCACGAACCTCTTTGAGGAGTTGGAGCACAAGCACGGCCAGATTGTCATCTCCCATGCCCTGGGATACATCTCGGCAGCCAAGAGTGGCATCACAGAGGCAGAGATTGAGGATGTCTTGTCATGCGATGATGAGGTGCTGAATGATGTGTACCAATATTGGGATCCACCTGCAGAAAACATCGTGCGGACGCCTCCCTCTCTCTGGAAGAGAATTCACTACGATGTCAATGAGTTTCTGTCTGAACGACAGTCAGGAGGTAGATATGCTCATTTGCTGTATCATAAGCTTGTAGCTGCCAATAAAAGTATCTAAACAGTTTTGTCATAAAGCAACTCAAGTGGAGTATAATTTTCTTAGGTCTGCCTTAAAAACTTAACAAGAATGTTTTGCATTTGAGGATAAGGTGCAGCTTTATTGGTAGTTTCTGTGTCATTAGCAATTCAGACTTTGCCCTTGCATTAGGAGGGTTTATGAGCAATTTGATCTTCGTTGGCAATGCTTCTTGCACAAACATACTGTCTGAGAACAATATTGGGTTTTCAATTGCTGTTGAATGCTGTACTAATCAAACCTGGCGAGGGGGTAGGATAGGATTTCATTTTTGCCAAAAAGTAGGAATATTATTTTGAGAAGTGAAATGCGTGCTCTTTAGAACATAATAGAGGAGGCTTTCTTGAAAGTGGGAACTTAAACCCACCTTGAACTGATATTACTCTGAGTGGAGTGGGCATTCATTTGAGACAAACACATCCTTGTCTACATGTAATTCACATGAGTAAGAACATATACATGTACACTGTAGTATGTATAACTCTGTGTATTTGTGTAATCCACAGGTAAGACTGTCGTTGCTTGGTACCATCGCCAATTTATTGAAGCTGCAGACGACCGCTACCTCATTAAAGAAGAAATTATCTCGGCCCGTCACCAGCTGCTCGCTGAAATGTTCCTTGGTTCTTATAGCGTAGGGAAAGTGCGACCTATCACCTTGCATAAGCGCAGTAAGGTGTTTCCTGAAGCCGATCGACAGGTGGCACCTCAACCGTTGGAGTTCAGCAATGGTGTCTATAACAGAAGGAAGCTGATAGAGCTGCCACATCACCTTGCTGAAGCAGGAATGTTGGAGGAGCTAGTCTCTCATGTCCTCTGTAACTTCAACTGGCTCCTAACCAAATTGGTATCCTTCAGTTTCCTGGAGTTGATGTTGGATTTCCGCCCATTAACTGAGGAGATCATCATTCTAATAGAGACCATGTATCTCGCAAGCAGCAACCTCAAGGTAGATCCTTTCTCCCTGGCTGGACAGTTGATTGGACGGATTGGTGATTACGGAAGCAAGTATCCTAACCTGGAGAAGCTAATCCAACAGGCGAAGGATTGGATAAGAAGCACCAAGCTCCCAGTATTTGTACCAAGTGCTCCATGCTTGATACCTCCTGGTGGACCACTGCGCACAGTCTTTGGAGGCCATCCCAGTTTGGTCTTAAGAGTAATGTGCACTCCGTCGGGGGAACTCATGTTATCCGCTTGTCTTGATTCAGAGGGCCACCCGATGTTCAATGTCTGGAACATGTCGACTTTGGAGGTTGTCCATAACTTGCAGAAAAAGAACGACAAATCTCCCTTGGTCAAAAACAGCAAGGTGAACATGTGCATCAGCCAAAGTAGTCGGTATGTCATCTTTGGCAAGAATTCCCTGGCGTTGTTTGACCTGGTCACTGGAGAGTGTTTGCGGGAGTTAGACACTGACGGCCTCACAAGCTTTAGCAATCTGACATTTGATGAGAAGGATTCAAGGGTTTTTGCTTGTGCCGAGCCTGGAAATGTGGTGTGCATCTGGAGCTTCGCTGATGGTCAGAAAATAGCATCCATGCAGCACCCAGCGGAGGCTATCTTCATCACGACGCTATCATCTGGAGAAGATCTTCTCTCTGTTTGCAGAGATGGGAAACTTAGAGTGTGGTCTTTGAAATCACAAGAGTGCGTTATGTGTCAGACTGGGTACGATGAAGGCAAGGTGGTGGCATGTGCTGCTCTTACCCCAGGAGCTAACCATCTGGTAACAGGCAGCTCAGACGGTCTGATAAAAATCTGGTCTGTGCCGCTGACCCTCCCTTCTTCGGCAGAGAGCATTACCTTGGAGTCGGAGATCACCGTATCCGTTAAGGAACCTCTACTGAGTATTGTCCCCCATTCAGACACTACCTTTGTGCTGCGAGACAGCAGCAGCATTAGTCGAATCATTCACCTCGTTCCAGAGAGAGATCCAACGGTTCTTGACCTGAAGGGGCATGATGGGCTGATAACGTGTGTCTGGACCCATCAAGGAGTTGCAGGAGACGGTGACAGGCCATCCTTTGTAGTGACAGGGTCAAAGGACGACACGTTGAAAGTCTGGTCCCTGGATGATGGTAGATGCCTCAACACATTGAAGGGGCACTCCTCCTGGATTTCTGATGTTACTGTGTTGACCATGGAGGATGGGCCACGAGTGCTGTCGGCTTGCAATGATAAGACTGTGAAGATGTGGATACCAACCAAAGGAGAGGCAAGTATACCTTAGCAACTATCACAATTACATGTATAAATCTTTTACATCAAAGATTTATGCTCTCATGTATTAATTGAGATTGAACTAAACATCAATTTGACCCTCAATACAAATTAGGAAAATAACCCTACTTTAACAACAGCGAGTGACCAGGGATTTATTTGGCATTCATAAATACCTAAGACAGTTTACCCGCTCCTATTTGTAGAGAGCCTGTCACGTGGCCGGTTTTAAACGGTTGATAAAGACCGGCTGGCTGGTCTTAAATACTTTTCCAGTGTCCCTTGAAATTTGGACTCCTTTAAATTCTGGTGCCTTTTAGTTACCGTTTTATTGGTTTAACGTTCACAATGTTCATGTAGGCATGCCCAATACTACGGTACCAGGGAGTCAGTACTTGTACATTTGTATTTCATAAATTCACACTACACCAGAACAGCTGCGTTTCGCACCACATCACGCAGTACACCTGACGCGCGCGTCGATCTTCATGAAGTAAACTTGTTGAACAAAATTGTTGGAAATTTATAATTTTTGACTTGTTTTGACTTTTGGACCAAACAGTGTTGATTTTTTTTGGGACCGAAAAAGGTATTTATGAATGGGAATAAATATATGCTTGGCCGGTATTAAACACTATGTTTAAGACCTGTTGGATGCTGATAATGACCCTATCAGCATCCAGACTCCAACCGGTATTAAACAGAGTGTTTAAAACTGGCCAAGCACGCATTTATTCTCTTATTAAAGACAATATCTCCATCTTATTTCATAGTGATGTTTTTGTTCCTGAGCATGCCATTATTATCTTCATTGTTAGTCTTTGGCTCACATACTGGGTTTTGTATTTATGCTACTTTCTTTTTTAGGTAACAAAAAGAGACAGGCATGAGCTATCGGTACTGTGCAATGCTCTGTTTAAGGGTACCAGCTCTCTAATAGGTGTGTCGGGGAGCAAGGATAAACAGACCAAGTTCTGGAACTTGGATGATGCCAGATGCTTCAAATCAGTAAGCTGTGCCTCGGTTGCCATGGAGATCCTGGAACCACAGGAGATGGTAGTCTGTGGCACAGACACTGGAGAGGTGGTAGCTTTTCAGTTGGAAACAGGGTCTGAAGTCTGGCGCTGGCCTCTGTTCAAGAAGAGCATCGCGGTGATTGCCCTGGCCGCAAGGCAGACCGTTCTGGTGTGCTCCAAAGAGCCCTCAGACAAATCAATCAGGGTGTGTGATGGAGCTAACCAACTGGAAGAAAAGTTCAGGTTGGTCGGACATGCCGAGGCTACAACCATTCTGAGATCAGTGGTTGGTGAGGAGAATCCCATGTACTTGTCGGCTTCCAAGATGGCCGGCGAGATCAAAGCGTGGGATGATGTCATGGGAAACTGCCTGACAACTATGATGCATGAACAGGTGAGTTATGAACAATTGCCTACATTTTGTATTTTATGTTTGCAAAATAGACCTTGTGCATTGGAGTCACACCAGCAGGTGTTCTTTGTTATATTAATTTAGTTAAAAAGAATGCACAAAAGGAATACTCATGCCTATTCCACAGAAGCGAAACATTTGCCCTCTGACTCTGCCTTAACGCGTAAATTCTATTGGGACATTGTTTTTTTTCTACTTGGTCTTTGCATATAATTATTGTTGTCATCTTTCTTTTCATTTGTTCCACAAAATCTAGATAAGTGAGTGCTTTTTGCTTGCTTATATCTAGGAATGCACATGTAGTAATGATACACATTAATCATGCTGCAAGTATTTGTTATTCATATTTTTATAATTTTTATTCATGTTCAAGAATAAGAATTTTGCTGGATCTTCATACTTCAGATTGAGTTGTTTTCTAAATCTTGCTGTTTGGAGCAAATAATATGACACTTTTTAGGCAAGAAATAGGCCTATTTGATAGTTTGCACTCATTTCCAAGAAAATGTTCAGTTTCTTTTGTGAAACTCTTAACCATTATGGTGGATTATGATTACATTCGAAGCACTCAAATACTCTTTGAAAAGGTCCTGCTAGCATCTGAAACGTTGGGCCCTCTAGTTTTTTAAATTTGCATATTTCAGGTCAATCCAGTTGGTTTACTGCAGTTTGAGTCATTTTCTTTGTTGAAAATATTGCTGTAAAAGTTACAATAACACATACAACTCTATATTGAGGTCATTCTGCAAATACTTGTACTCCTTTTTTGGTGGTCTCATATCAGGTCATGTCCATGGAAGTTTCCCCCAACTCCAAGTTTCTGGCCACCGGCTCCAATAAGGGCACCGTCAAGGTCTGGTCGTTAGGCAGGACTTCCCTGGGTAGTCTAATGGCCGAGTTGACCGGTCTGTACAATGACACCATCGTCTGTTTGGCATTTGATCGGGAGAATCGTTACCTTGTCTCGGGGGCTCACACTGGCCAGGACCAGTTGCTGATATGGGACTTCCAAGGGAATAAGAAGAGGTATGGTTCAGCTGAAAAGGAAAATCATATTGTCACAAAGGCAGCATCCTAAAGACTGCAATAGGAAAGCTTTAAGTAAGCAAAGTCTGTCACCAGCCAATATGGCTCATCAGGTTCGGGCTCATCTCTGGTTCCTAGGTATGAAACAATCGGGGATATTTCTATCCCCCTGGATGGGATGCCAGTCCATTGCAGATTATTGCCCAACTAATGCGGTTACCCATTTGTACTCCTGGGTGGGGAGAGGCAAGTGGGGGTGAAGTGGCCAGCTCAAGGACACAATATGGCCAGCATCTGGATTTGAACCCCTGATCACAAGTCACAAACCCGAAACAGTAGGCCGCACTCCCCGTTATGAAAGCCCTGAGCTCTACATACACATGTATCGATATAAGCAGGCCAAATTCCGTGTAAAATTGGTCTCAGCTTGGGCTACTGTTCACCTGAAAAGTATTTATTTTTTTCCTTTTTTTACTTCAAAATCCAGTATGATCTCCAACTCAAAAGGTTTTATAGAGTGGCAAATCTTGTGTAAAATTTGTCTCAGTTTTGGGGACTTAAGCTCTTCTTTCCACTCTCACTTCCACAAAAGAAAAGATGGGATCTCCTTGTTAATGAAATGTTCTCAATCTTGACATTGTATTTGAAAATATAGTGAGCCCCTTGCAAATGTTTCTTGCGGATTTCAGGAATTAAAAAAAATGAAATGGGGTAGATAAACACTTTTCTTTTTTTTCCCGCCAAATTGCCAACAGATACTTGGTTGGGCACACCCATGCTGTGATGTCAGTCAGCGTGACGGTCAACAACAAGTATGTGTTCAGTAGCTCACGAGACTGCACCATCAAGGCATGGAGTCTGGAGAGTGCCGACTTGCTGGCTTCTTTCGACTGCCAGTCACAGGTGAGTTCTGCTCACGGGCAATCGCTGGAGGCAAAATCGTGTGTCTGTTCGAAAGTGTCCAATATCCTCTGCTTTGAACAGCACTCTAAAACGTGTTGGGTTTGGGTTTGCCTCAGCTCACATACACTCAACCAAAAAAGAAAGTGCCCCCCTTCCAATGCTTTTTTGTGTTACTCAAAAACTACTGAGCACCTCTCTCTCAAATTACGACTAATCAGTACAGAAATTCCTTAGCAATCCAGCCATACTCTTCGTTTGGCCCAAACAGTGATTTGTGTACGAATTTATGCAATTTATGACAAATGATACCGAAAACAGTTGCACTTTTGTATACGTGCAAGTTGTGGTTCACACTCACCTTGCATGTATACCAAAGTGGAACTATTTTTCAGTACCATTTGTCATAAATTGCATAATTTTGTACACATTATCACTGTTTTGGGCCAAACAAAGAGTATGGCTGGATTGCTAAAGAATTTCTGTACTGATCAGTCATAATTTGAGCAAGATGTGGCCAGTAGTTTTTGAGTTTAAAAGTATAAAGGGGGACTTTCTTTTTTGGTTGAGCGTATACTATGCTCCATTGTTAAACTGAACATTTTATTTCCAAATAGTAATTTTTTTTCCAGACAAGATTGTTTAATTGTATGTTCCAAATTTGTGAGAGAGATCTTTAATATTTTGTCAAAAGACTCGCAACTTTAGACAAAGATATCTCAGTGAATCCTTTTTTTTTTAATGTGTAGGTTTTTAACTTTTCAATACAGGTCAAATTCTTCAAATTTGTCGAATTTGCCGAGGACCACTACCGCTTCATTGCAACCAACCAGTCGGGTACCATTGCAATGCTGGACCTTTTGCTAGAGAAAGCCGAACGGGGTAAAAAGGACGAGCAGGGTACTAGACAAAGCATGAGCTTGCCTCCTCCGAGGTCAGAGGTCAATGGAAATGCTTCAAATGAATCAACACCTCATACTAATGGTTGGAATGATAAAGGTAATAAAAGGAAAAAGAAAATGTCAAAAGTTTGTGTAGCAATCTGAAGTTGGGTAATGTCTAAAACAAAGATCAGTTGGAATATATATCGTTTTTGCAATCAATCAAAAGTCAACCACTACTGCCGTTAAAGGGGTATTATGGCCTGAAATCCCCGAAAACTTCATGTTTTGGATTGATTACTTATACTATGTTGAAGGTCTAGTTAAAAGGAAACTATCCTACTGTCTTACCGTTACCAAGAAACAACGGAAAAAAACCTGGTTGTTTACATCAGACGCGATGGGATATTCCTGTCGTCGTTTTCATTCAACGAACGATACACGTTGTGTGTGCCACATAAATTACACACAGCAACAAAATACAAAATTTTGTTTCGTGCACATCCACAGAAATATGACCGCTGTGTGGCTGGAATCAAAACTAGCATTGAACAGCTTGATTTTTCTGGGAAACAAAATTGTGACCCCCAAATTTGTTCTCACATGGTTCTCGCAAGAATAACACAAACACCCAGTTTTTAAAGGATGGTTGTGTGGACGTTTATATTCCACTTTTAAATGCTCTTTCCATCGATAGTATCATTTTGTTTAAAACACGTTTTATAGCCCAATTGGGTGCATTCCAGGCCGTAGTGTCCCTTTAATAAGTCCCACCAAACGTGCCTGAAAGATTTCGACGAGGGCCGAATGCAGAAGCAGACAAGTGAGAATGGAAATGATTGTATTTTAAGAAAACCTAAAAGGCAATAAGACCAATTTTTTTTGCACATTAATTAACCAGATTCTTTATTAACAATTTGTGTGTGACAAAATGCTGCTGTATTTTTGGGAAAAGAGCCCACATAGTTTTCATCAATAAACTATGTGTATATCTTTAAAGGTTTTTTATTCTGACTGCTGTGTTATATTAAAGTGAATTTAACAGGTTTTTTTTAGACATAAATGCTTTTAAACTCGTGTCTATCTCTTATATCTGTTTGCTTGTATATTTCCTTGTGTGCAATAGAACGTTAGAAAAAGTAAACCTTTAGTTTTCTGTTAAAGAATTTTGAATTTTATTCAAGTTGAAACATTTCGAAATTTTTATTTTTTACTATTTTTTTATATTTTTTTTTTAGATTTCCATGTGCGCTTTAGAATTTTAGAAAACTGTGATCCTATACTTTTGTGTTTTATTTGTATTCTATTTTATAATAACGAACTATTTTTCTTGGAAATATTTGGATTCGTGTATTTTTGCTACCATTATTGAAAACACTCAACATCTATATAGACCGTTTAACCCTGTACTTAAATCACCATTTCAAATCAAAACTTGTAATTTATAAATTACAAGTTCCAAAGCACAGTTAACTCTATTTTTCTATAAGACTGCTTGTTATGCTATTTTTAGATAATCTATACAGGAATATTCACACATTCCTGTATACATTTGATTTTGTTGAGAAAAAAATATTCACTTTTATTTTATTTTTTTTCAATCAAATTCAAACACCGGATATTGAAGTGCCTGCATATTTTTTTAGTATTCATAATTTAGCTCAGAAGAATATATATATTTTGTTACACCAGTGGTTACCTTTTCGAGATGTAAGATTTTTATAAACCAAAGTTTCACTTTGTAAAAATATGGGTTTTAAGATGCATTTTGTATTTCCAACCCTTTTTTAAAAGCGTTTCCTGAAGCTTGTGTTACATCAAATTCCTAAGGATTCTGGTTTCTTCTGATGAATCTTTTGTGTTAGGCCAAGTAAAATGTATTTTACATTATTGTTACCTTTTCGAGATGCAATACTTAATAAAAAACGAAGTTTGAATTTGTAAGATATTTGGGTTTTAACATGCATTTGGTATTATTGACCCTTTTTTTATACCGTTTCCTGAAACTTGTGTTACATAAATTCCTATGAATTATGTTTTTTCCCTGAAATCTCAAGTTGTTTTAGTAAAATGTATTTTCAACGACATCGTTTGAATTCAAGTTAAATACATTGCTTTGAAAAATGTCGAATATAGCAATAACTAGTCGACTGTTACGTCTTCACTTGAGGAATTATTTTTGTGTGTTTCAACTGCCGTGCGCATGTGTGAAAAGGCAATAAATGTAAAACACTTAAATAATTTTCCCATACCATTTCCCATACTGTTTTGGTAGTTTGATTCGTTTTTATGTTAGCTGCGTGTTTCGTTAGGTAAAGGTACGTAATTCAATCATTTCAATTCAAACATAGCGGGGGGGGGGGGGGCCTGAATTTTCGTATCGATTTTTGGATACTGACGAAACAATTCTGAAGTTATTTCTGTGTTCGGCTGAGGTCAGACTATAACGTCTGTTAAAGATAATGACATATGATGAAACTTGGAGTTTTAAAGCAATTGTCTCAATTTGCGTTTTTATTAAAATATTTTTGTTTTAAATATATATAAAATATCGTCATGATTTTTCACATGCAAAATTATTTTGTTGTACTTAATCAGCACTAAATGTTGACACATAAATAGCATGTACCATGATTTAGCTAGGACGTAAGCCACTGACGTCGTGATGTTCCTTTATAGCCATCTCTGGGAAATGGAACAGGTTTAGTTTTCGATATTTTATTCTTATTTGTCTCTGGATTCCTTTGGCGTAGTTTCCCCGTTTCACGTAAAGAGGTTGTTCACTGAATAACAAGCAAAGTACAATTCTGTAACTTTTAAAAAAACTTGTTAATTTCCCTCGTTCCTTTACTTATTTGTATTTATGACCAATGTATTCCAAAACCTGCTACATTATATGAAATGAATACAAATTTGAAGCATAATTTGAAGTATAGTTTTAAAAAAAAAATAAACAAGGCCTTGTTTAAGGGTAATTAACAATCCTGTAGTAAAACCCCCAAAGTAGAAGTTCAACTTTTAATACCAGAAGAACCTTATAATATAGGACTTCCTACTAAACCCAATTATGCAAAACAATTAAATTTCTTATTTTCTTTAGAAAAAAATACCGCAAAACATTTCATTTTGTTAACGCTCTTAGTTCCAAAAGTCAACATATTCGAGTGAACCAGGAACAAGACGATTTAAATCAAAATAGGCTTTCTTCACGATTCGGCCACATTAAATTGAAAGCGAGGTAAATACACATTTTTGGAACTTGTGTATATATGAAGGCAATGAAATAAAAGTTCATTACAGATTAGTGCCAGTCTGCTCTGATGAATAGTTTAAAAGTTGTGATTGAAAATACCCTAATGTTTTAAGCCACGTTTACAAAAAAAAATCTAGGTGAGGAATGGAACGCACTCCAATCGAAAGATAGTCTGGTACCATCCCATTCAACAGTTTACAATTCGTAAAATAGATTGAGGGAATACGATCGAAAATGGTTTCTTCGTGAATAAGGTCCATTGATCCACATGACTGATTTTTTTTTCAAAGATTTTCAATCTGAAATTAGAGTGATTTCCACTCCAAATCGTCTGGTTCCCCTGTAATTAAGCCCCAGTCTCACATTCGCGGTTTGGAGCTACGGATTTTCATGGTTTTGTGAAACAGTGGGAGTGCCGTATTCATCCGGAGACGTCTCTATAGTCCGAAAACCCATTGGTCCGAAGTCCCATTGGTCCGACGGCCCATTGGTCCGACGGCCCATTGCTCTAAACGTTCCATTGGTGTAAGCGTCCCATTGGTCCGACGTCCCATATTGGTCCGACGTCCCATTGGTCCGAAGTCCCATTGGTCCGAAGTCCCATTGGTCCGAAGTCCCATTGATCCGAAGTCCCATTGGTCCGACGCCCCATAGGATTAGGGTTAGGGTTAGGGTCAGTCAACCTGAACAAGTGGAACTTACACAGTATTATGTTTCGGACAAATGGGACTTCGGACCAATGGGACTTCGGACCAATGGGACTTCGGACTATCGAGACGTAACCATCCATCCTTAGTACCTCCGTGGTTATCCGTCATAGAAACCTAAGGACAGTCGTATGGCTATCCGTCCTGAAACCGTAGTGCATTTCTGAGAACGTCGAAAGGCTCGGCCGCGAATCTCGACGGTTCATCGTGATCGATTGATTCGTGGTAAACCGTGGATATTCGTAGCTGTGTGACTGGGGCTTAAGTTATAAAGAACGTCATTTCACTTTCAAGCGTGGTTGAATCAAGGGCGGATCCAGAACACAATTTTTGGGGGGGGCCAAAAAAATTTTTGGTCCTCCAAAAAAGTGTCCAAAAATTAGGCGTGGGGTTCGGGCCCGCTAAGGGCCCCGGAATTTTTGGATTCTAGATGCTCTGTGGTGCGATCTGAGGCAATTTCTGACCACTTTAACCAATGTTTTTTTGAGGAAAAGATGGTGGTGTACTCATTGCCTGCCTTTGTTTGCGATGTCACATCGTTTTGGGCCATGGCCCCCTTTGGCCCCCCTGGATCCGCCCTTGGTTGAATGATGTGTGCTCACGGTCAGTCAGTCACTGTATGGGATGCCAAGATCTGTGGGTCGATCGAGCGTTTAATGACGACGTGCATAATCCTGCAGAGAAAGAGAAAAGTAAAGTAAACAGTAAACGTCTTCAATAAACGTCAGAAAATTGAAATCAAAAGTATTTCTCAAGCGTTGGTATGGAGTACCGAAGTGATTACGTCACGCGCACAAAATGTGTGTGAAAGACATTAGCGCGCGATTCAGCCCGTGCCGTTGAACCATGGAGGAATTCCTTCCTCCATGGTTGAACCAACACGTGCGCGTACTCTATTCGTTTGCACTACACTTTGTGGTTCTAAATGACGTCACACTTCGGTACTCCATAACGCCTGTATGGGGAAACTCACATTGGGTTTAATGGAGGTGATTTTGTTTGCTTGTTATTTTAATGGATATAAAACAATGAAGATGAGTGGTTCAAACAAATACAAACCAATATTCAAACAAATATTAAACTGTGACTTACCCACGTAAGATTATTGAAGAGACTAATAGTCAGATCAAATTATAAACACGGGCTTTCAATTGCCTCATCAAAAATATCAGAGCAAATAATTATGAATTATCACATTTCTGGAAACCAAAACTTTCAAGTTTGATGCACATCTTAGGACTTAAGGTGATGCACGACTGATCCCTTACTGAGTGCAACATGAATGCGTAGGCTACGTACCCGAATAGCACAGGCGGTACACAAGTGATCCCAGCTATCACAAAGAACACAAGTGGGGCGTAAGATGCTACGGTAGCCATATAAACTGCGTTGACGGCTATGGGTGAGATATACATGCCGAAGTTCTCCACACAGCCGAGGAAGGACAAAGCAACACCTACAAGAAGCAGAAGGCATTATTTTATGGGGGTAGTCGGTCAGGTCATAATTTTTATTGAGCGTAAATGGACCTGAACTCGAGAGGACTGATAATGAATTGATTAATTAAAGAAATACCCCCAACAAAAAAAGAACAACCACCAAAATGTGATAACATGTGCCTAATATTTCATTATGCCCCTACCCCATCATACCACCAACAACCTGCATGCGAACCGATTCCTTGAACAACACCCTCAAGACTTTACCAAAGATGCCGAAACAGGATGGGAGCTATAGGCCCTATGTAATGTACACTCTAAAACGTTCGGGTCAGCTTTGGCCAGGAATCCGGGTTTAATTTGACAAGTATTGACCTGAATGCCTTTTATAGGGTCAAAATTACACTTTTCTGGGCCAAAGTGTTAAGGAAATTGACCAAGAAAAGTGTCATTTTGTTCCACGAGAAAACTGTCATTTCGACCCTATCAAGTCAAATATGACCCAGCCTTCAGGGTCAATTCTAACCCGGGACTCTTACAGGGTAGAAATGCCGGCTGAAGCTCATCACGTCACCACACTTTTGTAAATCAACGAATCAGTCTCCTGACGATGACTAGAGCAGGCTAGTCGAAACATTGTGACCAAAGACAAGTTCTTTTAGAACTTAAAGCAGGACTGTTCTCATCAGAACAAAAGCTACTTAGCGAAAGTTGATAATAAGCAGGACAAGTTCTTTTCAGAACTAAATATCTTCTAAGCAGTAGTTATTACCACATGGTGTTACCGCAAACCGAAACGATACCGATACTCCACATGCAAAGCCTCAAATCTTATATCAACGAAGACTGATACAAAGTCCGTTATGCCCAACCGTTTTTGCCCCTTGATAATCACTATAAGGACTCCCATGCATCATTTTTCCTACCGTCTTTTCCAAACTTTCACGATTTACCTTGTTCGTCAGCTCCAACCAGTTTGGAAAGCGATCCTCTTAGGACAGGGAAACACAATCCCGATAACACTAATAAAAGTGTCGCTAAAAAGAAATCAAATAATCAATATGGGAATCAAGAAATCTGCTCCGGATTAAAATGGATTGAGGATTGAAACACAAAGCCACTCAAATGGAAAATCTAAAGTTTTACCCCTTCCCAAAATGACAAGGTAAGATATGAGCAGATTAGTATGACTAATGACTCTCGGACTCGGACTGCAGTCCGACACGAATCTCATTTTCCATGACTCGGAACAAAATAATGACTCCACAACGATACAAATTTTCAGTATGTATGAAGTTGAAAATTTAGCCCACATTGTACGCTTTACCCCGTAAAGTCTTAAATTACATCTACACCCGCACTTTTCGTTAGAGTTAGTCACCTAACTGTCGCAAGTTAATCCAAAATACAACGCAAAGTTTAAATCACATTTCAGAATGACTTTGCTACGTAAATTCTATTTCACTGAAACTGAACCCCCAAACACCGATGTTACGAAAATGCTTCCAAAAATAAGGGACGACTTTAAACCGTTTGGGTTAATGATAATGTCAATTCGACGTTGTTTTTACACAAAATGGATGAAAGGTGACAAGGTTAAAGAAAATAAAGACATTGATGTAGTGCTCACCCCAAAACAATAGCTCGTTTGTTCTCACCAGCCCGAACACTACGTTTACCCCAACTGTACTGAAACAGGATATGTGAAAGATCCACTGACTGCTGAAACATTTTGACAACAATTTGAAGCCTCCGATGTTACCTATTTAAATGAGACAACAAAACACATTTATATTATTTGCATGAGTACTTTATGCATGTAAAAGAAGGGTTGGGGTTGTTTTTCAAATTTCTATTCCGCTTCTGCTCCTTTCTGAGTTCTTCGAAAGAAAAAGAAACATACCTTTATAAGAGCAGTGTACTCACCCCCTCTAAGCATGTGGAATTCATGGGGCACCGCTATTGCTCGACCCTAATCCCCTTCTTCTGTTCTCCTGTGTCCCCTTAGAAATCTCAAAACACATAGCATTACGGCTATGGGGTACTTCAATTGCTAAAGATAGACTTGCTGGGTACCGTTTTCCCTATTGTTGCCCTTTGTTCCCGGTACCCCATAAGCGCCAATATGTAAGAGCATACATGTTTGCGTTACATACCTAGTGTGGACATTCTTTTGTTTTCGTGTATAGTTAAGAAAAACCTGTAAAAAAATCATTATACTCACACCGTGAAGACTCCTTCAACCATTTTTTTTCTATGATTCCCTTTAGTGTTTCTCTTCATTTTGCCACGGAGAAACCTAACCCCAAAAATGCCTCTAAACCTGTTTTCCAGAGAGGGGGAAATATTGTGTGGACGTGGGCAAGTCCACACACGTCGCTGCTACCTGGTTTATGTGGACCTCTTTTGTTTGGAAGTTCACACAGTGATATGCTTGCACAGCTTGACATTGGGCGTGTGATCACAAGCTTGCTCCAATAGAACCCGAACCATATTATTTATCATACATCACATCACTATTAAACAGATCTTACTAGAGATGACTGGTCGATTAGAATCCAATACAGCAGCAGGTCTTGCAAGCAATAATTTCAAATGTTTTGGCAATAAAAATAACTACCCCTCCCCCCCCCAAAAAAAAAACTGTCAACCGAAATGTATTCAACTACATTCTGATAAACACGTCACAGCTTCTCAACTATTATTGATTACCACCCAAAACATCGGTAAAGAACCACGACTGCCTGAGGTGTTATCTAGCCTATACATTACAGAATGGTTTGCGATAGCCATTCAATCAAAATATTTGAACTCAACACTCACCAACAAGTAAGACAGTACTAAACAGGGCGGCGTTATACCCGATTGTAACTGGTGACCAGCAGAAGGGCTCGGCTTGCACGTACAATGTTTTAACCTGGAGCGAAGATTCCATCGGGGTTAGCATGAAAAGGGTGGCGAAAATGAGTAGCAAGCACCAGGTGCGTACAGTGCCTCCCTCGCTGTAAAACAACCGTCCCACGCCTCGTACAGTCTGCCTCAGTGTCTGGCCTAGTGGCTGCTGACCCTTCCTCTCGATTGTCTCGATCAGGATATGTGGAATTACAGAGTAAATGAAGGCCAAGACTCCCAGACCCGTCGCAATTCCCGCGGTGGCGGCAAAGCCAAGAGCTTCGTAGCAATACTCGGCCCCAATCTGAGTCAGTCCAACAAGGACGTAGACAGTTTCGATCACAACTATCCTGAAGGTGCGCTGTTTCTTGGTAGTCACGTCTGCAATGTAGGAGTAGCAAAGGGAGACAATCGTCATTTGCCCGCCTGTCAGGCCGATGGCAAGATCGGCGGCGAGGAACACCTCCAGGCGAAGATTGAACGCCATCACGGCCGTGCAAACACCGGCGAAACTTGCACTGCCGATGGTCGACAGGTTGAGAAATATCTTGCGGCCGAACCTGTCGGACAGAGCTCCCATGAGGATCGCGGAGACGAAGCCCGGAAGAGCTCCAGCGAGACTAAAGAGCAGCATCCAGCGAGCGGAGTCCGCCTGGATCCGGGCCTGGGTGTCAGCATCCGAAATATAACTCATATTACCAGTCTGGTTCCGAACTGGGCAAGGTGAATCCGTGTGAACGGTGTAGTTATAAGACTCCTGTACCCTCACTAGTACATACTGGATGCGAAGGACAGCGGTCAACATATAGCTGCATGCTGCCAAGAGAAGTAGGGGCTCCACTGTCACCCATCGTGATGCTGCCCTCTCTCTGCCAGATAGCTTAGGGGCTCTGTTCAATAGCGGTTCTGTTTCACAAACTACTGAATCATTTCCTTTTATTTTGCCTTCCATGTTGAATATACCGTGACTTGTTTTCTGTTGACAGAGAGGGCAAAATACACCACCAATTACTGTAATGGGCAGTCTCCCAGTAGCTAACATGAGACCCATCACACCCGTCATACACAAGAACTAGGCCCATAAATCGCCATAAAAGTCACACTTGGAACATGTAGGTCTATACCCGAAAATGTGGAACTTTGTTAAGTTTTTATTTTCGCATTTAGACTTTGTTTGTAGTTTATTCATGCTTTAGAAGCGCACTCACCCACTTTAAAGCGATGGAAAAGTAGTCCCCCCTTTTTTCAGACGTCTATTTTTCGTGTAATTTCGTGTTCGAATTTAGATACGCTACATGTGCAAACGAACCTGGAAATTACTCGAAAAATAGACGTCTGAAAAAAGGGGGAGGGTCTATAATTTTCTATCGCTTTAAAAAGGGTGAGTGTGCTTCTAAAGCGTAAATAAACTACATGTACAAAACAAAGTCTAAATGTGAAACTAACAACTGGACAAAGTTCTATATTTTCGGGTTCATGTTCCAAGTGTGGCCTTTATTTACGGAGGTAGTCCAGTGAATTGGCCTTATTTATGGGGCTACACAAGAAATTGCCAATAAACGCTTACGTGGATATTTGGAATACATTGCACCTCCTTATTCTTTTCAAATAACTTTTTCTAAAAAAGTTCCTTGCTATCACTTTGTAAACATGTTTAGATGTATTAATGGACAATGGTTGGCAATTTAACACTGATGTTTAGAAATTATAGCAGCCGTGTGGTTGCGCAGGGCGATTTCTAAAGCTTGCGGAACACTATATTTTGAATGGAGCTACATGCACACAGATATGTTCACGTTGGCGGACGAAATCTTTGAAAATTTATTTCTTCAGTTTGGAAGACCGTATTTTCATGCAAGTTTCAGGGTTTAGTTACCTTATAATGATCCAAGTACGTGCTAAAAAATGTTGTGATATGTTCATTACTTTATTAAATTGTAAAAATAGGCCTGGCTTCCTGCATTTTTAAAAGTTGTAACTACTGGTGTTTGCAATATCTGTCAATCTTTTCAAGCGTCACGAATATCAATAACGTTCCTGTCCATTATGTTTGTAGTAAAATTTGCAGAAAAGCCTCCTTCGCGAGTCATTAATTAATAAATATCACCCTTTTTGCCGGCTTCCATTGGTCGATACCGAGACCAACGCCAAGTCACGCCGAGTGACGCTAATGAATATACTAATGACGCTTCGTCATTGTGTTGCCGGGCCGAAAACGGTCAACCATAGCGCCTACGGCGCTATAGGATCTTTGCTGAAAACCATGCACGATGGTTTGGTCGTCACCACTGTCCTTGGATATAGTTCAAGGTGTAACACTAGCGTTTGCAACAACAAATTAAGCTGAAATTCGGAATATTGTTAGATGACATGGCCAAGTAAAAAAAACCACGTTTCTCGTCCGGGTTTTGAAAAAAAGGAGGAAGCGGGACTTTTTATTTTTTATTTGTTTCAAGTTGGCCGTCATCAAAAAATTTCCTGCAACCGTTGGTGTTTCCACTGTTCAAAGACACTTTTTTATAATGAAAGATAAGTTGGACAAGAGAACTGAACATATTTACAGTATTTACATATTTCGGTGTTTTTTACTGCATTTTTCAAAAATAAAAAATAATTAAAAAATCCAGGCGGCCTCCAAAAAGGAAGCAGGCGGTGACGAGAAACATGTTTTTTTTTTTACTTCGCCTAAGTAAGTGTTCAACTACTCATGAAATGACAACTTTCGAAATTCCTAGAAATTGATATACATACATAGATTTGAGATTTTGGGGACGTTTTCGAACGATTTCTTCCCGACTTGAAGGTAGCTAGGTCAGCTTTAAGTGTTAAACACAGTTATTGGCGTGTATGAGACCATTAGCATGGCACGTGACTGCCATTCTGCCCCGAGAAATTAAATGTCTCGTCATAGAGATGGCACATTTCCACTACATGTACGGCACCATCTGACGTCAACATCATGAACAAAAAACAGTCAAAATAATTTTTTTTTAAAATCCAGGCGGCCTCCATAAAGGAAGCGGGCGGGGACGATCGAGAAACATGTTTTTTTTTCTTCGCCTAACCGAAAAAGTTACAGTATTATCAAAGAATGTTTGCACTCCTAAAATAGTGTTTCTTCATCCTCACATACCTTAATATGACTGCTAACTGCTGGCCTATCCGATGAGTATCCTGTTTTGCATTGGGACCTATACCATGACATTCACTTCACGTTTAGCACATACGGATATCTTCATTATAGGCCTAGTATACTCTTTTCTACGATATGCTGGAGGCTCCGCATGTGGAAAAATATCCTTATACGAAACTAACAGTGTCACAAACCTTACCTTGTCTTAACATGGAGTAGCACAGGATCAGGAGGCCTTCTTGATGGTTGAGTACCTTCTTAATAAAGCTCAAGACAACATGAAGATCGTTTCTTCCAGTTTCTCCATGCAATAGTTCAGCTGCATACTTTCACTGAATAACCTGTACAAGGACGTAAAAAGCAGTTGTATGATGGCACGCTAGTACGTGCGCGGAGAGTTTTGACCATTACCTAATCCGGCCTTGACCCGGCCCATAGAGCTAGAGAGGTATCGTGCGTATATTGCACTTGTACCATGGTCGATGACACAACGTGAACTTACATGTATCACAACGTCGTCCCCAGGGCTTACAGTATTTTCAACCTCGTTTCCAATAGTAAGCCATGGGTTGGAAGCTTAATTGCTTCCTGTATCCTTGATTCGATACCGCAATTACCAATGGATATACTTGGAGTTGTTATTTAACGTTCATTGCAATTATTAGATATATAGATATAGATAGTTTAATGTTTTTACATTCGTGGTCAATAACCAAGTTACAGTAAAAACTACAATTGTAAAAAAAACGCATTAAAACTGCAAAATTAATTTACATCAATATTCAACAAACAAAAAAACAACTTAGCAAAAATGAAAGCTGCATTAATCCACCCCTTTCAATTTGTCCTATGTTAATATGTAATATAACACAAGGGCGGATCCAGGGGGGGGGGCCAAAGGGGAAAAAACGATGTATATGGGAACATTCAGTTTTCACGGCGCATAGCGCTGGAAAATTTTTCTATATTTTTGGTAACAAAAGATGCGCAAGACTCGAGGCTAAAAAGTCATAACAGCTCGGGTCGCGAAAAAAAAATTGTCAAGGCTATCGCGGAAAAAGTCGAGGGGGAGGGGCGGATTCCCCCGGCTCTTTAAGGGTTAAGCTGAGGTCAGACTGTAACGTCCGATTAAGATAATGACAAGTGATGAAGCTTGGAATTTGAAAAGCAACAATTTGCGTTTTTAATAATATTAAATTTTTTTTTTTTTAAATAGACCAATATATAAAATATCGTAATGATTTTTCACATGCAAAATTATTTTGTAGTACTTGATAAGTACTTATTATTGACACATAAATATTTATAACATGTACCATGATTTAGCCAAGACGTAAGCCACTGACGTCGTGATGTTCCTTTATAGCCATCTCTGGGAAAAGGAACAGGTTTAGTTTTCGATATTTTATTCTTATTTGTCTCTGGATTCCTTTGGCGTAGTTTCCCCGTTTCATGTAAACGAGGTTGTTCACTGAATAACGAGCAAAGTACATTTCTGTAACTATAAAAACAAAACTTGTTAATTTCCCTCGTTCCTTTACTTATTTGTATTTAGGACCAATGTATTCCAAAACCTGCTACATTATATGAAATGAATACAAATTTGAAGCATAATTTGAAGTACAGTTTAAAAAAATAATAAACAAGGGTAATTAACAACCCTGTAGTAAAACCCCCAAAGTAGAAGTTCAACTTTTAATACCTGAAGGACCTTATAATATAGGACTTCCCACTAAACCCGATTATGCAAAACAACTTTAAATTTCTTATGTTCTTTAGAAAAAAATACCGCAAAACATTTCATTTAGTTAATTCTCTTAGTTCCAAATGACAACATATTCGAGTGAACCAGGAACAAAACGATTCAAATCAAAATAAGCTTTATTCACAATTCGGCCATATTAAATTGAAAGCGAGGTAAATTCTTCATTTTTGGAACTTGTGAATATTTGAAGGCAATGAAATAAAAGTTCATTACAGATTAGTGCCGGTCTGCTCTGATGAATAGTTTAAAAGTTGTACCCTAATGTTTTACGCCACGTTTACAAAAAAAAATGGAGGTGAGGAATGGAACGCACTCCAATCGAAAAATAGTCTGGCACCATCCCATTCAACAGTTTTTACAATTCGTAAAATAGAATCAGGGAATACGATCGAAAATGGCTTCTTCGTGAATAAGGTCCATTGATCCACATGACTGATTTTTTTTCAAAGATTTTCAATCTGAAATTAGAGCGATTTCCATTCTAAATCGTCTGGTCCCCCTGTAATTAAGCCCCAGTCACACATTCACGGTTTGGAGCTACGGATTTCCATGGTTTAAAATTCGTGATAAACCGTGGGAGTACGTCTCTATAGTCCGAAGTACCATTGGTCCGAAGTCCCATTGGTCCGAAGTCCCATTGGTCCGACGCCCGGAGGATTAGGGTTAGGGTTAGGGTTAGGGTAAGGGTCAGTCAACCTGAACAAGTGGAACTACACAGTATTATGTTTCGGACCAATGGGACTTCGGACCAATGGTACTGCGGACCAATGGTACTTCGGATTATCGAGACGTAACTATTCATCCTTAGTACCTCCGTGGTTATCCGTCATAGAAACCGTAGTGCATTTCTTAGAAAGTCGATTTCTCGGCCACGAATCTCGGCGGTTCATCGTGATCGATTGATTCGTGGTAAACCGTGGATATTCGTAGCTGTGTGACTGGGGGTTAAGTTATAAAGAACGTCATTTCACTTTCAAGCGTGGTTGAATGATGTGTGCTCACGGTCAGTCAGTCACTGTATGGGATGCCAAGATCTGTGGGTCAATCGAGCGTTTAATGACGACGTGCATAATCCTGCAGAGAAAGAGAAAAGTAAAGTAAGCAGTGAACGTCTTCAATAAACGTCAGAAAATTAAACATCAAAAGTATTTCTCTAGCGTTGGTATAAGGCCTGTAGCGGGAAACTCACATTGGGTTTAATGGAGGTGATTTTAAACATCCAAAGTATTTCTCTAGCGTAGGTATAAGGCCTGTATGGGGAAACTCACATTGGGTTTAATGGAGGTGATTTTGTTTTGCTTGTTATTTTAATGGATATATAAAACAAAGAAGATGAGTGGTTTTAAACAAATACAAACCAATGTTCAAAATAATATTTAACTGTGAATTACCCACGTAAGATTATTGAAGAGACTAATAGTCAGATCAAATTATGATCACGGGCTTTTAATTGCCTCATCAAAAATATCAGAGCAAATAATTGTGAATTATCACATTTCTGGAAACCCAAACTTGTTTGATGCACATTTTAGGACTTAAAGTGATGCACGACTGATCCCTTACCAGGGGTGTAGCACGGTCATTTTTATTGGGGGGGGGGGTTAAATTTTTTTGAAAAGGGCACTTGCACATCCGTTGTGAAATGTAGACAGGTTTTTTCTCCGGACACTTGGCCTCCGTAAAATCAAAAAGCTGGGGGGGGGGGGGGGGGGGGGGCTGGTACCATCTGTCGATGGGGGCGCTGCTCAAAGCCGACAATTATGCACACAAAGGCCCAATATATGGTGCTTCTTAGGGCGATACATGTGCGAAATTCTGAAAAAGGCACCCAAAACGGCAGATGCCACAATAAGGGCACCACTTCTTTTTGAAAAGGGCACTTGTTCAGAAAAAGGGCACTATTTACAAATTATGGGGGGGGGGGGAGGTAATTACTGTTGAAAAAATGGCATTTGAATGGAAAAAGGCAGTCTTTACAAATTATTGGGGGGGGGGGTAAATACCTCCCTTACCCCCCCCCCCCCCCCCCCCCCCCCCCCCTGCTGGCCTTACTGTGCAACATAAATGCGTAGGCTACGTACCCGAATAACACAGGCGGTACACAAGTGATCCCAGCTATCACAAAGAACCCAAGTGGGGCGTAAGATGCTACGGTAGCCATATAAACTGCGTTGACGGCTATGGGTGAGACATACATGCCGAAGTTCTCCACACAAGCGAGGAAGGACAAAGCAACACCTACATGGAGGAAAGGCATTATTTTATGGGGGTAGTCGGTCGATCAGGTCATAATTTTTATTGAGAGTAAATGGACCTGAACTCTAGAGGACTGATAATGAATTGATTAATAAAGAAATACCCCCAACAAAAAACAACAACCACAACCAATATGTGATAGCATGTGCCTAATATTTCATTATGCCCTACCCCATCATACCGCCAAGAATCTGCATGCGAACCAGTTCCTTGAACATCACCCTAAAGACTTTACCAAAGATGCCGAGACAGGATGGGAGTTATAGGCCCTATGTTATGTACACTCTAAAACGTTCGGGTCAGCTTTGGCCAGGAATCCGGGTTTTATTTGACCAGTATTGACCTGAATGCCTTTTAGGGTCAAAATTACACTTTTCTGGGCCAACATGTTCAGGAAATTGACCAAGAAAAGTGTCAATTTGTTCCACGAGAAAAGTGTCATTTCGACCCTATCAAGTCAAATATGACCCAGCCTTCAGGGTCAATTCTAACCCGGGACTCTTAACAGGGTGGAAATGCCGGCTGAAGCTCATCACGTCACCACACTCTTGTAAATCAACGAAGATTAATTGATACAAAGTTCGTTATGCCCAACCGTTTTGCCCCTTGATAATCACTATAAGGACTCCCATGCATCATTTGTCCTACCGTCTTTTCCACACTTTCACGATTTACCTTGTTCGTCGGCTCCAACCAGTTGGGAAAGCGTGCCTCTTAGGACAGGGAAACACAATCCCGTGATCACTGTTAAAAGTATCGCTGCAAAGAAATCAAATAATTAATATGGAAATCAAGAAATCTGCTCTGGATTAAAATGGATTGAGGATTGAAACCCATAACCATTCAAATGTAAATCTAAAGTTTTACCCCTTCCCAAAATGACAAGGTAAGATATGAGCAGATTAGTGCGACTAGTGACTCTTGGACTCGGACTGCAGTCCGACACGAATCCCATTTTCCGTGACTCGGAACAAATGACTCCACAAGGATACAAATGTCAGTATGTATGAAGTTGAAAATTTAGCCCACATTGTACGCTTTACCACGTAAAGTCCTAAATTACATCTACACCCACACTTTTCGTTAGAGTTAGTCACCTGAATGTCCACCTAATTTAATCCAAAATACAACGCAAAGTCTAAAATCACATTTCAGAATGACCTTGCTATGTGAATTCAGATTTCACTGAAAACTGAATCGCCAAACACCGATGTTACGGAAATGCTTCCAAAAATAAGGGTCGACTTTAAACCGTTTTGGTTAATGGTAATGTAAATTCGACGTTGTTTTTACACAAAATGGATGAAAGGTGACAAGGTTAAAGATAATTAAGACATAGATGTAGTGCTCACCCCAAAAAAATAGCTCAGTTGTTCTCACCAGCCCGAACACTACGTATACCCCAACTGTACTGAAACAGGATATGTGAAAGATCCACTGACTGCTGAAACATTTTGACAACAATTTGAAGCCTCCGATGTTACCTATTTAAATTAGAAAACAACAAAAAAAACATTTATATTATTTGCACGAGTACTTTATGCTTGTGAAAAAAATCATTATACTCACACTGTGAAGACTCTTTCAACCATTCCCCCCCCCTATGATTCCCTTTAGTTTTTCTCTTCATTTTGCCACGGATAAACCTAACCCCAAAATGCATCTTAACCTGTTTTCCAGAGAGGGGGAAACATTGTGTGGACGTGGGCAAGTCCACACAACGTCGCTGCTACCTGGTTGATTTGGACCTCTTTTGTCCGGAAGTCCACACAGTGAATGTAATGCTTGTACAGCTTGACATTGGGCGTGCGATCGCAAGCTTGCTCCAATAGAACTCGAACCATATTATTTATGCAGACATCACACCACTATCAAACAGATCTTACTAGAGATGACTGGTCGATTAGAATCCAATACAGCAGCAGGTCTTGCAAGCAATAATTTCAAATGTTTTGGCAATAAAAATAACTACCCTTCCCTCCCCCAAAAAAGAGAGAAAAAAAAACTGTCCACCGAAATGTATTCAACCACATTCTGATAAACACGTCACAGCTTCTCAAAAATTATTGATCACCATCTGAAACATCGGTAAAGAACCACGACTGCCTGAGGTGTTATCTAGCCTATACATTTTAGAAGGGTTTGCGAACAGCCATTCAATTAAAATACTTGAACTCAACACTCACCAACAAGTATGACGGTACTAAACAGGGCGGCGTTGTACCCGATTGTAACTGGTGACCAGCAGAAGGGCTCGGCTTGCACGTACAATGTTCTAACCTGGAGCGAAGATTCCATCGGGGTTAGCATGAAAAGGGTGGCGAAAATGAGTAGCAAGCACCAGGTGCGTACAGCGCCTCCCTCGCTGTAAAACAACCGTCCAACGCCTCGTACAGTCTGCCTCAGTGTCTGAACTAGTGGCTGCTGACCCTTCCTCTCGATTGTCTCGATCAGGATATGTGGAATTACAGAGTAAATGAAGGCCAGGACTCCCAGACCTGTCGCGATTCCCGCGGTGGTGGCAAAGCCAAGAGCTTCGTAGCAATACTCGGCCCCAACTTGAAACAGTCCAGCAAGGACGAAGACTGTTTCGATCACAACTATCCTGAAGGTGCGCTGTTTCTTGGTAGTCACGTCTGCAATGTAGGAGTAGCAAAGGGATAGCACAGACATTTGCCCGCCCGTCAGGCCGAAGGCAAGATCGGCGGCGTAGAACACCTCCAGGCGAAGATTGAACGCCATCACGGCCGTGCAAACACCGGCGAAACTTGCACTGCCGATGGTCGACAGGTTGAGGAATATCTTGCGGCCGAACCTGTCGGACAGAGCTCCCATGAAGATTGCGGAGAAGAAGCCCGGAAGAGCTCCAACGAGACTAAAGAACAGCATCCAGCGAGCGGAGTCCGCCTGGATCCGGGCCTGGGTGTCAGCATCCGAAATATAGCTAATATTACCAGTCTGGTTCCGAACTGGGCAAGGTGAATCCGTGTGAACGGTGTAGTTATAAGACTCCTGTACCCTCACTAGTACATACTGGATGCGAAGGACAGCGGTCAACATATAGCTGCATGCTGCCAAGAGAAGTAGGGGCTCCACTGTCACCCATCGTGATGCTGCCCTCTCTCTGCCAGATAGCTTAGGGGCTCGTCTGTTCAATAGCGGTTCTGTTTCACAAACTACTGAATCATTTCCTTTTATTTTGCCTTCCATGTTGAATATACCGCGACTTGTTTCCTGTTGACAGAGAGGGCAAAATACACCAACAATTACTGGGTAAACGGCGCTATAGGAGTTTTGCTGAAAACCATGCACGATGGTTTGGTCGGAAAACAATCCTCGTCAAAATTGTCCTTGGATATAGTTCAAGGTGTAACACTAGCGTTTCGTTTGCAACATCAACTTAAGCTGAAATTCGGCATATTTTTAGATGATAAGTAAGTGTTCAACTACTCATGAAATAACAACTTTCGAAAATTTCTAGAAATTGATATACATACATAGATTTGAGATTTTGGGGACGTTTTTGAACGATTTCTTCCCGACTTGAAGGTAGGTCAGCTTTAAGTGTTAAACACAGTTATTGGCGTGTATGAGACCATTAACATGGCACGTGAATGCCATTCTGCCCCGAGAAATAAAATGTCTCGTCATAGAGATGGCACATTTCCACTATTTCGGTTGTGTACTATATGAACTTAGCAACCGGTTGTGTAAAAAAAAATTGAACAAGTTGTGTTATATTTTACACAAGTTGTGTAAACAACAGTTTACACAAAAGGTTGCTTGGTTCATATAGTACATAAAAGTTTGATTTTTACACAACCGAAATATACATGTAAGGCACCATCCGACGTCAATCATGAACATGAAACAGTCTGCTAGCGTGAGCATTTAGTCCCCATGGAAAGAATTACATACGCGGCCACCACGTACTGCACAAAGTCTACGGGCCATAAGGCCGAATAAAAAAAAATGTTTCTTGTGCGGGTTTTTGACAAAAAAAAGGAGGAAGCGGGGCTTTTTATTTTTTATTTTTTAAATCTTCAAGATGGCCGCCATTTTAAAATTTCCTGCAACCGTTGCGTGTTTCCACTATTCAAAGATACTTTTAAAATGAAAGACAAGTTGGACAAGAGAAACTAAACATTATTTGTACAGTGTCATTTAGAGTTGTATTGGTCTACAATGAACGTTTTCGGTGCATTTGCTTTAACCGTGGACTTTTTCGGTGTTTTTTTACTGCATTTTTCAAAAATAAAAAATAATAAAAAAATCCAGGCGGCCTCCAAAAAGGAAGCGGGCGGGGACGATCGAGAAACATGTGGTTTTTTTTTGTACTTCGCCTTACAGAAAAAGTAAGCGTATTATCAAATAATTTTTGCACTATAAAATAGTGTTCTTCATCCGATTTACAACCTTTGGTACCTTCATATTAAGGTATATGAGTGCTAACTGCTGGCCTCGGTGTAGAATTCTTTCCCTCCCCCTAGTGTTGATCCGATGAGTATCCTGTTTTGCATTGGGACCTATACCATGACATTCACTTCACGTTTAGCACATACGGATATCTTCATTATAGGCCTAGTATAATCTTTTCTCCGATACGTGGGAGGCTCCGAATGTGGAAAAATATCCATTTACGAAACTAACACTAGTATCACAAACCTTACCTTGTCTTAACATGGAGTAGCACAGGATCAGGAGGTCTTCTTGATAGTTGAGTACCTACTTAACAAAGCTCAAGGCAACATGAAGATCTTTTTCTCCAGTTTCTCCATGCAATTATAGTTCAGCTGAAAACTTTCACTGAATAACCTGTACAATTACGTAAAAAGTAGTTGTATGATGGCACGCTAGTTCGTGCGCGGAGAGTTTTGACTTACCTAATCCGGCCTTGACCCGGCCCATAGAGCTAGAGAAGTATCGTACGTATATTGCACTTGTACCATGGTCGATGACACAACGTGAAGTTACATGTATCACAACGTCGTCCCCAGGGCTTACAGTATTTTCAACCTCGTTTCCAATAATAAGCCATGGGTTGGAAACTTAATTGCTTCCTGTATCCTTGGTTCGACACCGCAATTACCAAGTAACAGATTGATATACTTGGTGTTGTTATTTAACGTTCATTGCAATTATAAAATATATAGATACAGATAGTTTATTGTTTTTACATTCGTGGCCAATAACCAAGTTACAGTAAAAGCTACAATTGTAAAAAAAAAAACCGCATTAAAACTTTAAAATTAAATTACATCAATATTAAACACACCCTAAAAAACAACTTAGCAAAAACGAAAGCTGCATTAATCCACCCCTTTCCATTTGTCTCATGTTAATATGCAATATAACATACTACATATTGGCGGGATATCTCGCTGCGACGACTAGATTCCGTTTTTACCCCAGACACCGCATCCAAAACAAAGGACAACCAGGATCCGAATTTGCATACGTATCCAAAATTATTGGATAAAGTGAATGCACAAAGGGTTCTTCAACTTCTTGCTCTTTGGATACAAGTTAGCCCATATTCGGAGGGTTAATAAAAATCAAGAAAAAACTGGATATAATATATCCAGTTTTTTCTGTGCAGACAGCATAATCACGGTTGCGTACGTGGTATATTATACCACGTACGCAACCGTGATTATGCTGTCTGCACAGTAAGTGAAATTTGGTAAAAAGCAAAGAAAGAACGGCCGCAATGCAGCTTAGTACGTTGATGTATTATCTGAGCGGGGTTCATGGTCTTCGTTGTGATTCGTCTGTTGTTATGTCAAAAAGTGTCCTTGTCGAGAACAGGACAATAGCCTATACACGGACCACAGACCGGAACGAATAGTGAGGGTGCGCCTCAACAATTCGAGCCCCATTGAAAACGGGTGTAAAATTAACACAGTTTAGCGCCAAATAACATGCATGCCGACTGCAGGGGCGACCATTATTGCACTGGTGTCGCCCCTAGAGGTTGTATACATTGTAATTTTTCGACGGCATAGGCACCCCTAAGGTAAGGGTGACCATTATTTCGCTGATGGCGTTCCTACTGGTTGTATGATTTTGGACGGCATCGGCATCTCTAGGGGCGACCATTATCGCACTGATGTCGTTAGCTAGAGGTTGTATGATTTTGGACGGCATGGGCACCTCCAGGGGCGACCATTATTGCACTGATGTTGCCCTAGAGATTGTTTAATTTTCGACGGCATGTGCACCTTTAAGGGCGCGACCATTATTGCACTAATGTCGCCCCATAGAACGGGTTGTATGATATTTCACGGCACCGACACCTCTAGGGGCGACCGTTATTGGACTGACGTCGCCTCGAGAGGTTGTATGATTTTTGACGATTTCGGCACCTCCATGGGGTTTCTCAAACACAAATTAAATAATTGTCTTGTCTTACATCTTTCCATTTCTTTTAAAGTTTTGGTGGGTTAGCCAATTACATTTTCAAATATTCACACCAAAACAAACTCACCTCCCAAAAAGTGATAGTTCCCAATCCTGCAGCCATTATAGAGATGGCATCCCTCCACTTTCTAATGCAAAAGGGCCCATTTTTCAACCGTAATGTTATCAAGTCTGCCCTAGTCAGATGGAAGCCCAAAAACCACGGAGTTGATCCTCGGCTACATTTACACAATCCCATAATTTTGTTAGCCAAACATTCTCCTTATTCAAAAAAGGTTGTGGGTGCACCTTTCGTGCGAATGAGCTCGCGTAGAATTTTACACTTAAATTAGTGTGTGCACCCTTTAAGTGCAGTTAATTCTAAGAAAAACAATCACTTAGATCTGGCACCGAATGAGGGCGCTGTATTATGCTACCAAGCTTTCATGAATTCCACCGCATAAAACGGCACCGACTGAGGGCGCTGTGTTAAGCTACCAAGCTTTCATGATTTCCACCGCATAAAGCTTTATTTTAATAGTCCACGTTTAATGCAGTCAGTATGGTTTTCCGAAAGCCGGGAGGGCCAACTTTATATCTATTTATCACGGATGAGGTTATCTGCAAGAATAGTAAACCGTTTTAAATTATGTTCCGTGAAAATTCCAATCAAATCTTACTCCTTATTGTAAAAGTGAAATGTTTATCGCGCGTCATTCTTCCAGTAATCACTGAGTTTAGTGTTGTTCCTCCTAATACCCTCGTTTAAATATCCACCTATTAATAATAGCTGGAGTTTTATAATCTAAGTTAATTTAATTCTTGTTTTAATTGGCCCATTCAGTGGAATCTGCCGGTCTCCCATGAGGCCCAGTAAAGTGAAGATGGTGTCAAGAAATTACAGTTTAAGATATGGGAGGAAAGCCCTAGAAGAATATTCGGAGGAAAACCCATGGAATCAGGTAGAGACTGAAAACCAAATCCACATATTTGGCCCAGGCAGGAATCGAACCCGGGCCAAAGCGGTGGCGAGGAAAGTACCGCGACGTCCACCTAACTCCCTTTAGTATAATATTCCAAAATATGAACAGTATAATAATATTTTCAATTCAAGTACCTGAGAAAAAAAATGCATTAAAAACTCCACAAGTTATAGATAATGAATTTAAAATGAATTGATATACCAAGTTCTGCTCTGTGAAGTTCAAGTTTGTCAGCTGGGCAATGTTTGTGATCTAGTTTCACATGCAAGAAAGAAAGAATAGATTTCTACGTCTGTCATTTGGTCATCATTATTTTGAACAAGTCGTATTATGAGAGGAGCGTCGTGTCTTTAAAGTGTACATCTGGGTTGTTTAAAATGAATATTATGAAATATTCTAATTGACTGTACGTAAATATTATTAAAAAGGATCATGTCTCCTGCGAAATCCTTGCGCCTAGAATGTTGTCATTTTCCAAAAAGAAGAATTACCATATCATATCCTTGCGATGGTTAGGACAAACCTGCAGGGTGAGTAAAAAAAAAAGCGGAACCCAAACCCCCAAAATCGTATTTCATATTTAAAAAATATGTAGCACCAAAAATAATAATGACTTGAAAGGCAATTTCAAAAGGTACTTTAAAATGAAAAAAAGACTGAAATTGGTCGATCCGTTCAGAAAATATCACCATTTAAACACAATGACCTTAAAACCTGCCTCGTCCAAAAAAAAATGCGATTTCAAGAATCGTCGTCGCAATTGTCTTCAAACATTACCTGCGACGAAATCTCAGTTCAAACGTTAGAATTATTCAACAGAATCCTTTTGAAGGCCCGTCCTTTAAAAAAAGTAGATTTTTATAAATCATGTTTGCGTAACCGGGTTGTTAATAAGGATATTGTGTACTACAGTTGGTGGCAGTTGTTGAAACAAGTATTCTGTGTCATTTCTGTGTTGTTCCAAACAGTCAAAACACACATTGAACTGCTTTTTTTTTTGGACGAGACAGGTTTAAAGATCATTAAGTTTAAATGGTTATATTTTTTGAACGGATTGATCAATTTCAGTAATGTTTTCTTCTAAAAGTAGCTTATGAAATTGGCGTTCCAGTCATTATTATTTTTGGTGCTACATATTTTTTAAAATATATGAATTATATCTTATGGGGTTTGGGTTCCGCTTTTTTTGAATAACCCTGTTTATATGCATTGCGTTGAGAAAAAAATAAACTGAGATACCACAGTTCACAGTTACCACAAAAAGTGTATTTGCTGCAGTGGCGACAGCTTATGTTTTAATAACCGGCTTCATCGTTCCTTGAATTGTCAAAAACACATGTTGTTTTTGTAAATGGTGTCCATCACCTTTAAGAAGAGATGGGTGGAATGAAACTGGGAGTATGACGTCAGACCGATTCATTCATGGATACTACTCACGATTGTTTATACTACTGGGAATAACAACACGAAAACTGCAATGATACCGCCCAACTTCGTAGTTCGAGTTTAAAGTTAATTTCTTTAATACATCCAACGTCTGAAAACAATCTGCAATGTTAATTTCTTATTTTTGTTTCGAAATACATGGTACGCTGGGTTTTTTTTTCATGTATACATGTAATCAATGGAACGCTTGAGTAAACAGTACCTGGGCCAAATCTCATTCAGTTTCTGTTGTTACAAATGCTTGCCCGCGGAATGAACCTTGTTGTTCTCATAGCTCGTCTGAGCGGTTACCAAATCATATACTAGTTGGATCGAGCAACCGACATGATTATTGACGCTCTCAGACTCAGTTGTTGCCTTCAACAAGCCCACACAACCACATTTGAATAAAACCACACGTTTGGCAACCTTTTCACCCGATCGCTACTATCGATTTAAACAACAATGACCCCTTTGTCCCCCTCCCCACAGTTCTTTTTATTTTTACCCATCTCTGGTTCTTCCCATCCTCGAGCCCATATCCTACAAACATAATTTGATATCGTGTTGCTATGGAAACCAAGACCGATAAGGAACGGTCAGGGTCGGCGTTTTTTTCCGGTCGGTTCATTTTACCGAGCAACAGAAACAGAACACACAAAAAAATAGAAGGAAATGCGCTGACCACGGAGATCTGGCTGACTTGAGACGAACCGCTCATAAACATGTATTTGAAATCCTTCATACCGCTTCGGTTTCGACCTTCTGCCATCAGGGTTGGATCCCGAGCGCGAATGATCCGTACTAACAGGAAGGGTATTAGACACCAAGATATATCAAGCAGTACTATAAGTCTAGCCTGAGCATCTTCCAAAATGATAGGCAGTCTTATCGAAGGAGTACTTTTGACCGGAATGCACCATTTTGGTCGCTGAAACACGTTAACGTGGAAAAATGTTCGCCAGAAAGATCACTAAAAAGTATATCGACGTAC